TTAGGAATTGGAACATTGGTTGCAATATTCTTACAATATATCTAAAGCAGCCAACATTATAATTTTGTATGAGAAAAGGATCTAAATTGAAATATTTTCTGATTACCATGATGAGTTGAGATGTAGGGGGTAGATCTATTATAGTAGCTGTAAAATGTGCAGGAAAACACCAACACAAACAGCTACCGGTTTGGGTTTGGGTTTATAGGCAAATGACATGCTAAAGACAATGGGAAACAGGGTAAATAAAGTGTTGTTGGAAGTTCACTCTGACTGGCTGCCACTTTGCCATTGAAAAACTCCCAGCAGAGCATTCCTTTGCTTGTTGAGGGCAGACTTTATGTAAAGGAATAAAGAAATAGGTTGTTCATGAAGTAGGCCTATGCACTTGCCCTTCAAACAATTTACAACTAATGAAATACCTCTGCGGAATACCTTTTGTACTGTGTAGGTAGACTATTAGTTATTAGCCCTCGTAAAACTGACTATCCTACCGATCCTTGACTTCGGCGATGTCATTTACAAAATAGCCTCCAACACTCTACTCAGCAAATTGGATGTAGTCTATCACAGTGCCATCCGTTTTGTCACCAAAGCCCCATATACTACCCACCATTGTGACCTGTACGCTCTTGTTGGCTGGCCCTCACTACATATTCGTCGCCAAACCCACTGGCTCCAGGTCATCTATAAATCACTGCTAGGCAAATCCCCGTCTTATTTTAGCTCACTGGTCACCATAGCAACACCCACCCGTAGTCTGCGCTCCAGGAGGTATATCTCACTGGTCATCCCCAAAGCCAACACCTCCTTTGTCCGCCATTCCTTCCAGTTCTCTGCTGCCAATGACTGGAACGAACTGCAAAAATCGCTGAAGCTGGAGACTCTTATCTCCCTCACTAACTTTAAGCGTCAGTTGTCAGAGCAGTTTACCGATCACTGCACCTTTACACAGCCTTTCTGAAATTAGCCAACCCAACTACCTCATCCCCATATTGTTATTTATTTTGCTAATTTGCACCCCAGTATCTCTATTTGCACATCATCTTTTGCACATCTATCATTCCAGTGTTAATTCGAAATTGTAACTATTTTGCACTATGGCCTATTTATTGCCTTACCGCCATAACTTACTACATTCGCACACACTGTATATATATTTTATGTTGTATTTTTGACTTTATGTTTTGTTTACCCCATATGTAACTCTGTGTTGTTGTTTTTATCGCACTGCTTTGCTTTATCTTGGCCAAGTCGCAGTTGTAAATGAGAACTTGTCCTCAACTGGCTTACCTGGTTAAATAAAGGTGAAATAAAATAAATCAAATAAAAATAAATGATCTTGATCAGCTCTCTTACTGTGAGCATAATAATAGTCACTAAATCAATTTCTGAATACATACACTATTGTACAGTAGGCTATAAATTGTCATAAATAATTAATATAGTCTTATTTTCCTTGTCACTATGATTAGGGCTGTTGAGTGAATCTTTATAGATTTTTTTCAATATGATACTTACAGAATTCCATGAGAGATTTGCATTCCCAGTTGTCATGCAGGCCTCGGCATTGACTCCACATACTTGCGTAGTGGGACTTTGCGTCCTTGTCCTCAACCCATCCCGAGTTAGCAGCAATTGCAATAATGTCAAATATAATCGCAAAAAGCAAAAGAAGTGGTACGATCCACCTGCATCTTGGATACGCAAATCCACAGCGAAACATTATCGACAAACACAAACCGGACAGTGCGGATAGAAGCGGTCGGGAGTCCAGATACGATATGGGTTTGTGTAAACTACACCTTTTTTACTGATCAAATCTGAAAGCTCCACCCTAGTTTGCAACGTAATCCGTGCACAGTAGCCTAACGCGTCCCGTGCGCGAGCGTTGCAAAATAAATGTACACATACACTGCCAGTCAAATGTTTGGACACACCTACTCATTCAAGGGTTTTTCTTTATTTTTACTATGTTTTACATTGTAGAATAATAGTGAAGACATCAACACTATGAAATAACACATATGGAATCATGTAGTAACCAAAAAATAGTTAACAAATCAAAATATATTTTATATTTGAGATTCTTCAAATAGCCACCCTTTGCCTTGATGACAGCTTTGCACACTCTTGGCATTCTCTCAACCAGCTTCACCTGGAATGTTTTTCCAACAGTCTTGAAGGAGTTCCCACATATGCTGAGCACTTGTTGGCTGCTTTTCCTTCACTCTGTTGTCCACTTGGGTGACTGAAAGATGAACTGAGGTCTACGCTCCAGTCCAGTTGGTTGTGTTAATGCACCATAAAGTTGGTTGCCAACCGCCATATAAAGTCAAAAGAAGAAGAAGAAGCCTGAAGGAGGAGAGATTACAAGAAAATACATTTTTACGGTTTAATCAGTGGATTAATTGTCGGAGTAGAGGACCTTGTGGACTTCATGTAAAATAACAACACAATGTTTATATCCCAGGACAAATTAGCTAGCATTAACAAGCTAGCTAGCTAAATAGACAAATGTTTAATGCTTTTCGACCTGTCTCCAAATTAATGTAGTTGGTTCAGAGTTCGTTTTGATATTTCAACCTGCGTGTCCTGATCGTGTCTGGTGTGGGTGGACAAAATCAAAATGCGCGCAATGGCGCACGCGGACGCACGCGTGCGGGCGGTCTAGTCAGCATGTAAACCTGTTTAATAAACCTGTTACTTGGGCAGGCAGGCTCATTCTCGTCAGGCGAGAGTCAACCCAACCAGCATCTCAAGCCCAATCCATTGACACTGTAACATGCTGACCAGACCGCTCGCATGCGTGCGCCATCGCGCTCATGTTGAGTGTGATGGTGTGTACTACTGTGTGCATCTTGCTTGAAGGAGGAGAGATCAGCTCTCAGACTCTCAAGTAAGAGAGCTTTGGGGGGCAGGACCGAGTTTGGGAAACCCTGCCCTACGGCACTGCCCAGGGACACAGTGATCCCCTGTAGCTCAGTTGGTAGAGCATGGCGCTTGCAACGCCAGGGTTGTGGGTTCATTTCCCACGGAGGGCCAGTATGAAAATGTATGCACTCACTAACTGTAAATCGCTCTGGATAAGAGCGTCTGCTAAATGACTAAAATGTCAAATGTGATGTATGGTAAAGTGGCGGATTGTGGGCATGCACCTGTCACTGAGAAATTCAAACACCAGCTGGTTGACAGAGCGCTGGGCCATCTCTATGTGCTTGTTGATGTCCTCCTCCCACTGGAACATCTAACAAGTCCACTGTGTGATGTCAGAGTAGACCACCGTTGTCCCAGGGAACATTCTGATGACTACCTCCAAATCAGCTCTCATCTGACGCACCAGGGCTGTCCCCTTTGTGTGTCACAAATCGTTTCCACCGAGGTGGATGACTATGATCTTTCACGGTCACACCTCGCCTTAGAGAGAGAGAATATTTCAGAACCCTTCCATTGAAAACAGCTCATCCATATTTCGCTCTCCTGTAGTCATCTAGCCAGCTACATTGTGTAATCTCTCCTGTAGTCATCTAGCCAGCTACATTGTGTAATCTCTCCTGTAGTCATCTAGCCAGCTACATTGTGTAATCTCTCCTGTAGTCATCTAACCAGCTACATTGTGTAATCTCTCCTGTAGTCATCTAGCCAGCTACATTGTGTAATCTCTCCTGTAGTCATCTAGCCAGCTACATTGTGTAATCTCTCCTGTAGTCATCTAACCAGCTACATTGTGTAATCTCTCCTGTAGTCATCTAGCCAGATACATTGGGTAATCTCTCCTGTAGTAATCTAGCCAGCTACATTGTGTAATCTCTCCTGTAGTCATCTAGCCAGCTACATTGTGTAATCTCATAGTAAATATTTGCTTCAGTCTTTCTTCCTTGCTTTCGGCAATTTGCTTTGAGCAATGATCAGTAGGATTATGAGCTGGGATTTTATCAATACATAAATGCACAAGTGAGGGTTCACAAGGAGAGCATGTATTAAACTGAATTATAATGTTGTGTGATAATGTTGCATAACCACCAAAAAACTACGTTTTAAGTGAGAATAGGCATGGGTCTGAAGCCGAAAAAGAAAGGAATTTCAAATGAGCACCACAATGCCTATTTTTGGACACAATATTGCGTTCTGCAGGTATAGAATGTTGCCCAGGTCGCGCAGCTAATGTGGCTACTATGTTGTCTCGCGCTGTGTTGGAGTCGTCACTAGTTACCACAGCCACAAATGGCTAAACCCCGCCTATTTCTACAATGTATTTTCTTAAAATCAGATTTGAAACCTACCTTAACCTTACCCCTAACCTTAACCACACTGCTAGTTTTATGCCTAATCTTAATTTTTAATTAATACAAAAAAGCCAATTGTGACTTTGTGGCTGTGGTAACCGGTGCGGTTGCCTGGAGGGTGAGAAGAAATATAATGCATGGAGTCAGATTCCATGGAATTTATCTGCTGGAGAATGACGTGTTTTACATGTCTAAATTGACCTCAGGCTCGGGGCTAGATTGTTTATTCCGAAATACTACTATGTTCATCCCAACAATATTTTTACTTATAGGCCTATCATGTAAAAATAAATGGCCTAAAACACAATCTTGCAGCCACAGTGCCAACCGCTTGCGCCGTCAAAGCCGTTCCAGAAGAGAGCTCCATGGCCACAGTTTCCCAGTTTCTGATTTCCCAGAACGAATATGGGCCATACGTACTCGAATCAAGACAGTTCAGTAGGATAATAGGCATGTAATTTTTCGATAAATGCAGGTGTTTCATTATGAGAATGATCAGGTCGCTCGGTTGCATCAATATAAAACAGTCCGAAAACCCTGGTACGGCTGTGCAACGCTGTAAATAAACGCTTTGTCTCAGCTTCACGGATTTGACGTTCGGTCTTACATCACTGGCCTGGGAGTGAATCATCATAAGAGGATAGGGATGCTGCGGCCGTGAACTGGACATCGCACTTATTTAAACATTGCTCATTTTGTCATCTTTTTGTCATCATGGACGAAATACTAAGTAAGCTACAGAAGGACGCATCTGGAAATAAGCACAAAGCAATTCGGGATGCGTGCCTCTTCGCCTGTGGTGAGTAGCCTATAATAACAGGCTGCAACAGACACTAGCCAATGTTGCACCTGTCATAGAATCGAAAACTGACCAAAGATAGGCGTGTGTTTCAGGCTTCCTGAAAAACCCTCGTTTAGTAGTTCAGCCATTCAGATGGTCAACTATTTTACTATGCCTGCTGCTGACTTTCCGGAAATATTCTTATCAGGCTACTGGAGAGTGGAAAACGGACGTAGCATTATGTGCCATGGCCAACTCGGCAGCACCCAGACCAGTGCAATTATTAAAGCACTCATTCACCTATTTGGCCACATTACATGTGAGCATTTCTGTTGTCCCTAATGCAATTGACAGGTGGGCAATAGCTGTCGCATCAATCATAATGTTTATGAATGACAGGTGGGCAATAGCTGTCGCATCAATCATAATGTTTATGAATGACAGGTGGGCAATAGCTGTCGCATGAATCATAATGTTTATGAATGACAGGTGGGCAATAGCTGTCGCATCAATCATAATGTTTATGAATGACAGGTGGGCAATAGCTGTCGCATCAATCATAATGTTTATGAATGACAGGTGGGCAATAGCTGTCGAATCAATCATAATGTTTATGAATGACAGGTGGGCAATAGCTGTCGCATCAATCATAATGTTTATGAATGACAGGTGGGCAATAGGTGTCGCATCAATCATAATGTTTATGAATGACAGGTGGGCAATAGCTGTCGCATCAATCATAATGTTTATGAATGACAGGTGGGCAATAGCTGTCGCATCAATCATAATGTTTATGAATGACAGGTGGGCAATAGCTGTTGCATCAATCATAATGTTTATGAATGACAGGTGGGCAATAGCTGTTGCATAAATCATAACGTTTATGAATGACAGGTGGGCAATAGGTGTTGCATCAATCATAATGTGTATGAATGATAGATGGGCAATAGGTGTTGCATCAATCATAATGTTTATGAATGACAGGGGGAAAATAGCTGTTGCATCAATCATAATGTTTATGAATGACAGGTGGGCAATAGCTGTTGCATCAATCATAATGTTTATGAATGACAGGCGGGCAATAGCTGTTGCATAAATCATAACGTTTATGAATGACAGGGGGGCAATAGGTGTTGCATCAATCATAATGTTTATGAATGACAGGCGGGCAATAGCTGTTGCATAAACCATAACGTTTATGAATGACAGGGGGGCAATAGGTGTTGCATCAATCATAATGTTTATGAATGATAGGTGGGCAATAGGTGTTGCATAAATCATAATGTTTATGAATATTGTTGTATGAGGTAATGATATATAATGCACTTTCCATGACCCCTGGTCACATTCTTTAGGACCTACACAGAGCCATATTATTGACCCCCTTAGGAACTTTCTTTCACATATGACATGTACAGTGAGGGAAAAAAGTATTTGATCCCCTGCTGATTTTGGACGTTTGCCCACTGACAAAGAAATGACCAGTCTATAATTTTAATGGTAGGTTTATTTGAACAGTGAGAGACAGAATAACAACAAAAAAATCCAGAAAAACGCATGTCCAAAATGTTATCAATCGATTTGCATTTTAATGAGGGAAATAAGTATTTGACCCCTCTGCAAAACATGACTTAGTACTTGGTGGCAAAACCCTTGTTGGCAATCACAGAGGTCAGAAGTTTCTTGTAGTTGGCCACCAGGTTTGCACACATCTCAGGAGGGATTTTGTCCCACTCCTCTTTGCAGATCTTCTCCAAGTCATTAAGGTTTCGAGGCTGACGTTTGGCAACTCGAACCTTCAGCTCCCTCCACAGATTTTCTATGGGATTAAGGTCTGGAGACAGGCTAGGCCACTCCAGGACCTTAATGTGCTGCTTCTTGAGCCACTCCTTTGTTGCCTTGGCCGTGTGTTTTGGGTCATTGTCATGCTGGAATACCCATCCACGACCCATTTTCAATGCCCTGGCTGAGGGAAGGAGGTTCTCACCCAAGATTTGACGGTACATGGCCCCGTCCATCGTCCCTTTGATGCGGTGAAGTTGTCTTGTCCCCTTAGCAGAAAAACACCCCCAAAGCATAATGTTTCCACCTCCATGTTTGACGGTGGGGATGGTGTTCTTGGAGTCATAGGCAGCATTCCTCCTCCTCCAAACACGGCGAGTTGAGTTGATGCCAAAGAGCTCCATTTTGGTCTCATCTGACCACAACACTTTCACCCAGTTCTCCTCTGAATCATTCAGATGTTCATTGGCAAACTTCAGACAGGCATGTATATGTGCTTTCTTGAGCAGGGGGACCTTGCGGGCGCTGCAGGATTTCAGTCCTTCACGGCGTAGTGTGTTACCAATTGTTTTCTTGGTGACTATGGTCCCAGCTGCCTTGAGATCATTGACAAGATCCTCCCGTGTAGTTCTGGGCTGATTCCTCACCGTTCTCATGATCATTGCAACTCCACGCGGTGAGATCTTGCATGGAGCCCCAGGCCGAGGGAGATTGACAGTTATTTTGTGTTTCTTCCATTTGCGAATAATCGCACCAACTGTTGTCACCTTCTCACCAAGCTGCTTGCCGATGGTTTTGTAGCCCATTCCAGCCTTGTGTAGGTCTACAATCTTGTCCCTGACATCCTTGGAGAGCTCGTTGGTCTTGGCCATGGTGGAGAGTTTGGAATCTGATTGATTGATTGCTTCTGTGGACAGGTGTCTTTTATACAGGTAACAAGCTGAGATTAGGAGCACTCCCTTTAAGTGTGTGCTCCTAATCTTAGCTCGTTACCTGTATAAAAGACACCTGGGAGCCAGAAATCTTTCTGATTGAGAGGGGGTCAAATACTTATTTCCCTCATTAAAATGCAAATCAATTTATAACATTTTTGACATGCGTTTTTCTGGATTTTTTTGTTGTTATTCTGTCTCTCACTGTTCAAATAAACCTACCATTAAAATTATAGACTGATCATTTCTTTGTCAGTGGGCAAACGTACAAAATCAGCAGGGGATCAAATACTTTTTTCCCTCACTGTAGGCCTATTCAATAATGGCACAGCAGTTTTCCCATTAGTACAGAGCACATTAACCTATTCACATTTGAATTTCAGGCCAAGCTCTATCACTGATTGACACATTTTCTTTCTTTAAATACCAAAATGCCAGGTTGTTGTGACAGAAATTACTGAGTACTGTAATTGTCCACTCCACAGTGGAACCTGCTCTTTGCAAGGCTCCTGTCACCTCTCTGTGAGGAATTAGAGTGACACGATAGCACAGGGCTGCCTGGCAGACAGCTGCCCTCCTTCCTGCAGCTGTATACCAATGGACAGCAGGTATGCTGGTGCGAGATTAATGCAATATTGCACATAGGGCACATGAATAAAGGCAAGGACAAGGAGAACTTATCCACTCCCACACACGTACTACATTATTCATGCTGCCATTTCAATGTGAATATCATCATATGGTAATGGTTTTAATGAACTTCCTGTTTTTCTAGAAAACCTAGACCAAACTGACCTGTGTTTCAGATTCTGATACTGTACCACAACAAAGACTGGGTATTCTACAGAAAGACTGAGAACCATATGGCCAGTCCAGTCCTATGTTATTCTACAGAAAGACTGAGAACCATTGGGCCAGTCCAGTTCTATGTTACTCTACAGACAGACTGAGAACCATTGGGCCAGTCCAGTCCTATGTGATTTGATGTCTTAGCTGTAATCTGTTTCTTTTGTGTTGTATATGATTACAGAAACCCTTCAGAAACAAAATGGATCAGCCAAGATTCCCCCGTCTCGGCTCAGGTAAGTTAGTAAACATCATCAAGAGTTGGTTTGACTTCAGTCGTGTTTGTGTGTGTTGAGTCAGTGTGATTGTTGTGATGTTTCACTCTTCACAGTCCTACCATTCCCTCACCCACACATGCACACACACATCCATGGAGACACGCGCACACATAAAACACACGCACACACACCCAACAACACCTGCTGTGCTAGCAAGAAGGCAGTGTGAAGATCATGATTTATCATAGGAAAAACTGTGAGTATGATAGTGCTCTAAATTAATTAAACATTTGCAGTATTCACCTTTCTTCAAAGCTGATAAAATTCCAGAGTTAATGATTTAGCCTGTGTTGGTTTAGTCTGCGTATTATAGTTTTGCCAATAACAGTAACTACTCATGTTTTCTTTTTTCACTCTTGCTCTTGTTTTCGACAATTGTTAGTGTATTCCAAATTACTTCTTCCACAGTTGAATTCTCCTAACATTCTCTGCCCAGGACTCACAAATTATCTCCCTTTCTGCCAGCTCAGCAACTGCAGAGACCCACACCTCTGCATGTCCTCCCTCCGCTTCCCCCAGTGATATTTCTGTCAGCAAAACATGCTGTCACATGCTGGAACTGAAAAGGAATCCACGCTACACTGAGTTAGCCTCTGTTTGTCTCTGCAGTGTAACAGTTATTCCCTCCGGCTAAATGAGAGGTCTTGTGTAGGCTGGTGTTAGATCTGCAGGCTGGTGTTAGATATGGAAGCTGGTGTTAGATCTGGAGGCTGGTGTTAGATATGGATCTGGAGGCTTGTGTTTGATCTGGATCTGGAGGCTGGTGTTAGATCTGGATCTGGAGAATGGTGTTAGATCTGGAGGCTGGTGTTAGATCTGGAGGCTGGTGTTAGATCTGGATCTGGAGGCTTGTGCTTGATCTGGATCTGGAGGCGGGTGTTAGATCTGGATCTGGAGAATGGTGTTAGATTTGGAGGCTGGTGTTCGATTTGGAGTCTGGCGTTAGAGTTTGTGGTTGGTGTTAGATTTGGAGGCTGGTGTTAGATTTTGAGGCTGGTGTTAGCGTTTGAGGTTGGTTTTAGATCTAGAGGCTGGTGTTAGATCTGGAGGATGATGTTAGATATGGATCTGGAGGCTGGTGTTGTATCTGGAAGCTGGTGTTAGATCTGGAGACTGGTGTTAGTTCTGGATCAGGAGGCTGGCGTTAGATCTGGATCCAGAGGCTGGTGTTAGATATGGATTTGTAGGCTGGTGTTAGATATGGATCTGGAAGCTGGTGTTAGATCTGGATCTGGAGGCTGGTGTTAGATCTGGATCTGGAGGCTGGTGTTAGATCTGGAGGCTTGTGTTAGATCTGGATCTGGAGGCTGGTGTTAGATCTGGATCTGGAGGCTGGTGTTAGATCTGGATCTGGAGGCTGGTGTTAGATCTGGATCTGGAGGCTGGTGTTAGATCTGGATCTGGAGGCTGGTGTTAGATCTGGATCTGGAGGCTGGTGTTGATATGGATCTGGAGGCTGGTGTTGATATGGATCTGGAGGCTGGTGTTAGATCTGGATCTGGAGGCTGGTGTTAGATATGGAGGCTGGTGTTAGATCTGGATCTGGAGGCTGGTGTTGGATATGGATCTGGAGGCTGGTGTTAGATCTGGAGGCTGATGTTAGATCTGGATCTGGAGTCTGTGGTTAGATCTGGATCTGGAGGCTGGTGTTAGATCTGGAGGGCTGGTGTTAGATCTGGATCTGGAGTCTGGGGTTAGATCTGGATCTGGAGGCTGGTGTTAGATCTGGATCTGGAGGCTGGTGTTAGATATGGATCTGGAGGCTGGTGTTAGATCTGGTCTGGAGGCTGGTGTTAGATCTGGATTTGGAGACTGGTGTTAGATATTGGTCTGTACGCTGGTGTTAGATATGGAGGCTGGTGTTAGATATGGATCTGTTGGCTGGTGTTATATCTGGATGTGGAGACTGGTGTTAGATCTGGATCTGGAGGCTGTTGTTAGATCTGGATCTGTAGGCTGGTGTTAGATATGGATCTGGAGGCTGGTGTTAGATATGGATCAGTAGGCTGGTGTTCGATCTGTATGTAGAGACTGGTGTTAGATCTGGATCTGTAGGCTGGTGTTAGATATGGATCTGGAGGCTGGTGTTAGATCTGGAGGCTGGTGTTCGATCTGGAGGGCTGGTGTTAGATCTGGATCTGGAGGCTGGTGTTAGATCTGGATCAGTAGGCTGGTGTTAGATCTGGATCTGGAGGCTGGTGTTAGATCTGGCAGATACCATCACCTCAGAGTCTGTCTGTCTCCATGTAATCATATTCCGCCTGCTGTCCTGTTATTTGGAATGCTGTCTGGTTATGTAGAGACCTTTTCATTGCCTTGCCTTGTGTGCCCTGTGATGTTAGTCTGACAGTGGGAGGCTATTACAGGATTTATATAAGAGTCCAATTGCCGGACCCAATTTAGTTATTCTTTGAGGTTTAACCCCATCCCTTTAATTCAAAGTTCAATAGCCTGCTTCAATCAGTGATCTCAGTTAGCTTATATCAATGACCTGACTATGCCCCCTTTGAAACACTCATCTTAAACTGTCATGCAATTGAATCAATGGGTGAAACTTCCTTCCCTAACATCAATAACATGAATAGTTAACAGCAGGTATGATTAGTCTCAGCCTCAGGCATTAATAATATATTGATATACAGTGGGTTTTCAGGCTCAGTAACCTGCACACTGACCAGTGGTTGCATAACTCCTACACTGCATCAACATTAGATATTCACATTGACACAGTATAGCCATGACAGGCCATGAGCAGCCTCAGAGGGAAATATACTTCCATCCCTGATACCAGTAAGCTTCCCAGATAGGCTTAGTGCATACTTGGAAATAAGTTGGCATTGTAGATTACTGATAATGGTGTTATGATGAATTGAAGTGCATCCAGTCTCATACTCTTTATCTAGTTATAGTTATATAGTTAATGCTGCATTTGTCATTTTAATGTTCAATATATTGATTAATGGAAAGGTTGGGATGAAGCTAGTTATGGAATGCTAATTAGTTCCTTTATAAGTGGCAGGATACTAATTGTGAATTGTTTTGATAAATGTGTATTGCACTGTTGAGGAGAGCTTGTGTAGGCATTTCACTGTACCGTTTACACCCTGTCCTGTAAATGTGACCAATAAACTTTGATTTGATGAGATGAGACAGGGGAAGTGTTGTTAAGCTCAGCATGATGCATGAGTTTGATACTGTAGACTGTAGCGAGAAGGCATCTCCTTATTATGCAGAATGTTCTGTTTAACACGCTCCCTGTAGCCATTTCCAAATGTAATTCCAGTTGGTTAAAAAGGGCAAGGCTGGCGTCCTCAATTCCGCTGTTTTTCCTTCCTTCTCTTGAAATCTCTCTTCCTTCCTGCAATGTTCTCGGAAAAAAAGCTTTTCCTTTTTTTAGATTTTCTGCATCAGCCATATAATTTACTATCATTTTGAGGGCAAGCAGCAACAAGAATTCTCCCAAAACATAGTATTTAAAATGCCGTTAATAATAGGGGTTGTGTTGTGGATTTGTGGCCTTGATTTCAGACAGATCAAGATGAGATGAAATGTCTCTTGATTTCAGACAGATCAAGATGAGATGAAATGTCTCTTGATTTCAGACAGATCAAGATGAGATGAAATGTCTCGTGTTGTAGGCTGTTGTGATTATATCATTATATAAAATATTATACTCACAGCCTGTCCCCTGAAACATGGTGGATGTGAAACTATCATGCTTGCTTTTGCTCCTGCTTTGTTTTCATGGGATGTGAACATGTTAGCTGTAATCTCTTTTTGGAAAGCCCCACAGGAAATAATTGTCAGAGTGCCCTCAAACCAACCTTCTCCAGTCTAAATATGAAAACTTTGCCCCATTTGTTTTTTATTTTCTCTCTGTAGCTTAATTATATGTTTATGTCTTTGCAGAGAAAGATGCCTTCTCCCTCTTCAGCTGGCACTGGAGTCCAAGAACAGGAAGCTGGCCCAGACTGCCCTCACAGGAATGCAGGTACAGTCCAGCAGCCATACATGCAGCAACAATGACCTGTACAAAACAGCAGATGGGGTTGAACCAGGAAAAGGTCATTGCTTTGACTAGCCATGCGTTTGTGAAACTACAGTACATTCTATACTGAACAAAAATATAAACGCAACATGCAACAATTTCAAATATTTTACTGAGTTATAGTTCATATAAGGAAATCAGTCAATTGAAATAAATTCATTAGGCCATAATCTATGGATTTCACATGACTGGGAATACAGATATGCATCTGTTGGTCACAGATACCCCCCCAAAAAATGGGCCTCACAATGGGCCTCAGGATCTCATCACAGTATCTCTGTGCATTCAAATAGCCATCAATAAAATGCAATTGTGTTCGTTGTCCATACTTATGCCTGCCCATACCATAACCCCACCACCACCCTGGGGCACTCTGTTCACAACGGCTTATGGTAGAGAAATGAACATTAAATTATCTGGTAACAGCTCTGGTGGACATTCCTGCAGTCAGCATGCCAATTGTACGCTCCCTCAAAACTTGAGACATCTGTGGCATTGTGTTGTGTGACAAAACTACACATCTTAGATTGTTCCCAGCACAAGGTGCACATGTGTATTGATCAAGCTGTTGGATGGATTATCTTGGCAAAGAAGAAATGCTTACTAACAGGGATATAAACACATTTGAGAAAAATAAGCTTTTTGTGTGTATGGAAAATGTCTGGGATCTTTTATTTCTGCTCATGAAACATGGGACCAACATGCTGCTTTTATATTTTTGTTCAGTGTAAGAGGAAATGTAGGTTAATTACATGCATTACTGCTGCAGACCCAACCCTTTACCCTTCAGTGAGTCTTGATTTGAATTATTTTTTGTCTGCCTAGATTCTGATGTTCTACACAGTATTCATTTTTTTTTTTACTGTGTATTGAATTGTCCCACTCTCTACCTGTATCTGTCTCTCTCTCTCCTCCATTTTGTACTGTTCTCCATCCTACTCCTCCTGGTATGACTGTAGAAGATGCTGTCTGAGGACAGGTTTGTGGCCGTGGAGACGGAGGCTCTGGAGAGGCAGCTGTTGAGTCAGATGCTGGACGCAGTGAGGGTGACCCCCATGCTCCACGAGGACCTGCAGGTCGAGGTCATGAAGGTCCGTCCTCTATGCATGCAGGGATTATTAAAGCGATCAGATGACTTAGTCTCTGTTATAGTAATTGACCCAGTCGAAACATTGATTAAAGAAGTATACTTTATAATCCAATAAAGAGTTTGACTGTTTTACCTCTGTTGATGCTGTGTGAAGACTGCTGTTGTATTGTAGTGTAGTGTAGTGTAGTGTAGTGTATTGTACTGCACTAAGGGTCCCTACTCCCCAGGTAGTGAAGTAAAGCCGGGACCAGCCCCTGGCTTGTTGCCAGTCAGTTGTACTCATTCACATTCACATTCACATCGACGGGGCTGTAGTGGAGTGGGTCGAGATCTTCAAGTTCCTCGGTGTCCACATCACTAACAAATTAACATGGTCTACACACACAAACATAGTCGTGAGGGGGCACGACAACGCCTCTTCCCCCTCATGAGGCTGAAAATATTTGGCATGGGCCCTCAGATCCTCAAAATATTCTACAGCTGCACCATTGAGAGCATCTTGACTGGCTGCATCACCGCTTGGGATGCAAGGCATCCGTCCACAAGGCGCTACAGAGGGTGGTGAGCACGGGGGGCCAGTATAAAAAATATATATATATGTATTCACTAACTGTAAGTCGCTCTGGATAAGAGCGTCTGACTAAAATGTAAATGTAAATGTACGGCCCAGTACACCACTGGGGTCGAACTCCCTGCCATCCAGGACCTCTATACCAGGCGGTGTCAGAGGAAAGCCCTAAAAATTGTCAACGACTCCAGCCACCCAAATCATAGACTGTTCTCTCCAAATAGCTACCCAGACTATCTGCATTGACCCTTTTTGCAATAACTATTTTTGAACTATTCCCGTGTAGTTCTGGGCTGATTCCTCACCGTTCTCATGATCATTGCCACTCCACGAGGTGAGATCTTGCATGGAGCCCCAGACCGAGGGAGATTGACAGTTATTTTGTGTTTCTTCCATTTGCGAATAATCGCACCAACTGTTGTCACCTTCTCACCAAGCTGCTTGGCGATGGTCTTGTAGCCCATTCCAGCCTTGTGTAGGTCTACAATCTTGTCCCTGACATCCTTGGGGAGCTCTTTGGTCTTGGCCATGGTGGAGAGTTTGGAATCTGATTGATTGATTGCTTCTGTGGACAGGTGTCTTTTATACAGGTAACAAGCTGAGATTAGGAGCACTCCCTTTAAGAGTGTGCTCCTAATCTTAGCTCGTTACCTGTATAAAAGACACCTGGGAGCCAGAAATCTTTCTGATTGAGAGGGGGTCAAATACTTATTTCCCTAATTAAAATGCAAATCAATTTATAACATTTTTGACATGCGTTTTTCTGGATTTTAGTTTTTGTTATTCTGTCTCTCACTGTTCAAATAAACCTACCATTAAAATTATAGACTGATCATTTCTTTCTCAGTGGGCAAACGTACAAAATCAGCAGGGGATCAAATACTTTTTTCCCTCACTGTACATGCGTACTGGGCATACCTTAGAATGGGGCATCCTGTAAACCATGCCACACAGCTAGACTTAACTGGACTTCAACAGGTTCAATTGGGGGCCGTTTTCAAATTATGTATACCATATAATTGTAGTAAATCTGAAGTTGGACAAAATGTGAGAACTGTGAAAGGTTGTCCTTGCCATGTATAGATTTCTTGCGGATTGCTTTCGTGAGCATGCCACTTTTTGTACATGGTACTTTTTAAACTGCAGATTGTTTTACGGCCTACTTTACTAGTAGCTGTAACTGGCTGCACCTAGCATGTCTCTAGTCTCCACAGAGTTCTTACTGTAAGTGGCTGCACCTAGCATGTCTCTAGTCTCCACAGAGTTCTTACTGTAAGTGGCTGCACCTAGCATGTCTCTAGTCTCCACAGAGTTCTTACTGTAAGTGGCTGCACCTAGCATGTCTCTAGTCTCCACAGAGTTCTTACTGTAAGTGGCTGCACCTAGCATGTCTCTAGTCTCCACAGAGTTCTTACTGTAAGTGGCTGCACCTAGCATGTCTCTAGTCTCCACAGAGTTCTTACTGTAAGTGGCTGCACCTAGCATGTATCTAGTCTCCACAGAGTTCTTACTGTAAGTGGCTGCACCTAGCATGTCTCTAGTCTCCACAGAGTTCTTACTGTAAGTGGCTGCACCTAGCATGTATCTAGTCTCCACAGAGTTCTTACTGTAAGTGGCTGCACCTAGCATGTCTCTAGTCTCCACAGAGTTCTTACTGTAAGTGGGGAGTCATTTGTCTTCTCTTCCATACTAACCTGAGATCCTGTTGCTCCTTCACCCTCAGAGGCACAGGGCCCAGATATCACAATGTGAAAACAGCACTGTTGTCAAAGGACACAGTAAATATACTTCTAGCTGCATTTATTTCCAACTCAAAGTGCTATGTTGAGTGTTTGAAGTGATGCAGTCTGTTTTGACAGCAGTCACACAAAGCATTGGGTTTGTTGTCAACAGATGGTTTCTGTTCCCTGGCTGATTGCCTGACAGGATGATCTGTATGGTATGTGTAATGGGTGTTTTACAAGCCTTTGTCTCCTTACCCTACAGGTCCTTCTCTGTATCACATACTCCTCCACCTTTGAGATCAATGGAGACTCCATCCTGAGGATAGCTGAGGTAAGCCTGATGCAGGTATCACTGACATGCAAAGGGAGGCCAGGGAGCCAGAGAGGCCAGGGAGCTAGGGAGGACAGGGAGCCAGAGAGGACAGGGAGCCAGGGAGGACAGGGAGCCAGAGAGGACAGGGAGCCAGGGAGGACAGGGAGCCAGGGAGCCAGAGAGGACAGGGAGCCAGGGAGCCAGAGAGGACAGGGAGCCAGGGAGGACCGGGAGCCAGGGAGGACACACAGGACAGGGAGCCAGGGAGGACAGGGGGCCAGGGAGGACAGGGAGCCAGGGAGGACACACAAGACAGGGAGCCAGGGAGGACAGGCAGGCTGCCTGCCCCCTGACACTCCAGGCAATCAAATGCTCACAGTAATTTGAAAGAAAACCAATATTGTTTGAACCCAGGTCTGGTCTGTGTCTGTTCAGCCTGGCTCCAGGAGTAGGGGGGTGTTGATTATGATTATGGCTGACTCTTGACATAATGTGCCCCACCTCAGCGGCAGCACCTCCTTGCTTCTGCCATCCATCACCAAGGTGAATCTCTTTGTTGCTGCTATGCATCCAGTGTTTATGGTAATCACACTCATAGTAATCTAATGTATTATTTATGTATGTAGATCAATCAGTCACTGACTTCTAAAGAAGCATATCATTTGTAGAGTGGAGAGTGGAACTGCATGGGGTTCTCGTCACATTCATCAATATGAAAGTACAGCTCTCCGTATCTCCTCCTCACAGGCTGTCTGTAGATCCTTGGTCTGTCTCTCTGGACATGGGTTCCTGTGTTTCTCAGCTGTGCTCCTGGTTATCCATTAACAGCCCATAAATATGTCTAATGTTGTGTTTAAGTGGATCTGATCCCATTAGGCCAGTCCATCTGCTGTGTGCAGGCAGGAAAGGTCCAGCACCCCATAACTCTGCTGTTGGACAGAGAGGGTGAGCTGTCAACAGCAGCTCATAAATAACTGGACCTAATGCACCCCTGGATCTAATGTATGCTCCTGCTTCGTCGATCTGGCACCGGGAACAGAAGGTGTAAAAACATGTTGTTTGGGGTTTTAATTTGAATGGAGATTACCCTCTTTATCCCTGCATGGTAAGATCCATATAACTTATACCTCCCACTCTTTTCTAACAAATTAGAATGTCTATATTTTTACAGGTAAAAATTCAATTATCATGGTTATTTTATGATTTAATTCCAGTGATAAAACGTGTATGGCAGAATTTCATGAATGTTGTGTTCAGTGGATGGATGCTATTTCCTATCCTGCTCTTGCTGCTGTGTCACAGAGATAGTACATGCTCCTGTCTCTCTTCCTCATCCTTGGTACAGAGAGAGCCCTGCAGCCAGTGACCCAGAGTGTCAGTACAGACAGACTGACAGTCCCTAACTAATTCCTCCCTGTAACCTTTCAAAACCAGCTCAAACAAGGTGCTCTTTCCTCATTTAATCTCGTTGGTCTGGTCGCCATGGAAACCCCTAATTCAAGGCCACTGACATGACACCATGTCTGAAGTGGTCTTTCCACTACGTCAGCACCAGGCAGGGGGAGAGATGGAGAGTTGGGTCTTTATTATCAGATCTACTGGTCTGGGATCAGGTTACAGTATTTGTCATTCACAGTACTAACAGGTGCATTTCTAGTGTCAAGACTCGTTGAGATGTGACTTTGACTATTACTATACTTCATGATGCAGTACCCCAAAGAGAGAACCATTTCATTTCCCGAGTGGCGCAGTGGTCTAAGGCACTGCAACGCAGTGCTAGCTGTGCCACTAGAGATCTTGGTTCGAATCCAGGCTCTGTCGTAGCCGGCCGCGACCGGGAGACCCATGGGGTGGCGCACAATTGGCCCAGCGTCGTCCAGGGTATGGGAGGGAATGGCCAGCAGGGATGTAGCTCAGTTGGTAGAGCATGGTGTTTGCAACGCCAGGGTCGTGGGTTCGATTCCCACGGGGCCAGTTTGAAAAAAATAAAAAAATAATAATGTATGCACTCACTAACTGTAAGTCGCTCTGGATAAGAGCGTCTGCTAAATGACTAAAATGTATATTTTGAGATAACTAAAGAGTTGATATTTGGAAGCAGATTTGAGGAACTGAAGTTGACTTCTGACCTTTGACCTTTGTACCTGGAGCCCTGCTGAACTGGTTTGGTCCTTTAATTTATACAGTCTTTGGTCTGGGCGGTCATCTCATAATTGGACGGACCAAGCTATTAAAATCTACTTTTAGTCTTAGCTGATTCATACCATGAATCACTGCTCAGGATGGATTATAAATGGACCAGCATGGCTCTTGGTTAACAGAACAGTAACGTTAATAATAGCAGTTGCCTTTCACATTTTAATCTGCATGTTAATTACCAGAGCGACTGGGAGTCTTATTTTAGATTGGATCAGCAGATATGGCGTGAAAGATGAGCCCGAACAGTGTGGAGAAGAGTTCTATCTCACCTGCCTGATAACCTCTCTGAATAGTGACTCCTGCTTTCATTATACCAGTACTAAGGGGAGAGGGTTAAGAGAATGTTCCGGTCAAGCTTCCTTGGCTGGGCCTTTTATGTGTGCGTCATCCACCATAGAACCCAGAGCTTTCAGAGGCTGTCATCCTCCATAGAACCCAGAGACCAGCTTTCAGAGGCTGTCCTCCTCCGTAGAACCCAGAGTCCAGCTTTCAGAGGCTGTCCTCCTCTGTAGAACCCAGAGACCAGCTTTCAGACGCAGTCATCCTCCGTAGAACCCAGAGACCAGCTTTCAGACGCTGTCATCCTCCGTAGAACCCAGAGACCAGCTTTCAGAGACTGTCCTCCTCCGTAGAACCCAGAGACCAGCTTTCAGAGAATGTCATCCTCCGTAGAACCCAGAGACCAGCTTTCAGACGCTGTCCTCCTCCGTAGAACCCAGACTCCAGCTTTCAGAGGCTGTCCTCCTCCGTAGAACCCAGAGACCAGCTTTCAGACGCTGTCATCCTCCGTAGAACCCAGAGACCAGCTTTCAGAGACTGTCCTCCTCCGTAGAATCCAGAAACCAGCTTTCAGAGAATGTCATTTTCTGTAGAACCCAGAGACCAGTTTTCAGAGGCTGTCATCCTCCATAGAACCCGGAGACCAGCTATCAAAGGCTGTCTTAATTCAATTAGCCACTGGGATGTCATCTAGATTTATACACTGATTTATATAGAGTGGGAAGTAATGAAAAGTGTAAGGTGAAGGTAAAGCAATAATGTCCTGCTGACTCTTCAGGGCTTGGCATCACATTTATACTTTGGTTGATGTATCACACATTGCTTAAAGATGATATTTTCATTCACTCCCGATGTCAGACTTTCTTCAGTCCAGCCAGCTTTGCCTTGAAAGAGGCATTTACCTTTGTGTATATACATTGGTTGTTACAGTAAACCCCTGCTCTGTTGTAACGTGTGTGTGTGTGTGTCCTGTCCTGCTATCCCCAGGTGTGTATTGAGACATACAAGTCCAGCTGTCACCAGCGCAGCATCAACACGGCCGTGAGGGCCACCCTCAGCCAGATCCTGGGAGACCTCGCTCTGCAGCTCGGACACAGACAGGTCAGCTACCCCAGGCACCTTTGACCTCTCACATTATCACCACTCAGACTAGATCAGAAGCAAATAATATGGGATTGTCTGGGAGGGAGGGGCTTAAATGAGATATTGTAATCAACTCATTAAATGCATCCATAGAGTACAGACGTACTGTGTTGAATACATTTTGGTTGACTTGTGCTGCTGTGATTACAAGAATCAGCAACAAGATCACAGTCTTTGAATATGTAGGGGAATGCATTGAATGCACAGTCATAGATGAAGCGACATACAGTGTCTGAAAGGCTATAATATTGTGTTGTGTGTCTGCAGGGAGTGGATGGCGAGGACGCACCAGTGCCCACACACCAGCGCAGAGGTACTTTATAGCCCTGTTATATAGGAAAGGCCTTCACTACCGCCCTTCGCATGCCATGGGGAATATACCTCCACATGGACTATACTGTCCCTTTTATGAGTCAATGAGCACAGGGTGTTAGACATCACACATCTCTTACTGCAAGGCTGGGTGATTCACACCTCCAGAGTCCACGTCCAACAGTGGGAGAGGAGAGACCAGTAGTAGGAAGTGATGCAGTGTGTCTGCTGGTTTAACTGTTCTCTGTCAGACCTGGGTCAAATACATTTTGTCAAACACTTGAGCTGCGTTTGATTTAGTTTGGGCTGGACAATGCAACCAAAAGTTCAAACTCCACGCTTGGAATCGCACCTCAAATAATTTTAAATATATAAGGTATGTTATCAGTTGTATTTATTCCCCTGAGTGTGATGTCTCGGTAATGGTTGTTGGCCTGTATGTTTTTAGATGTGTCTCCCACGACACAGTCCCTGTGTGGGGACGTTGTGACAGTGCTAACGGTCTTCTGTGAGAAGCTGGAGGGGGTTGACCAGTAAGAATGATTCTTTATTCAGAGTTAATACTGTTTGTTTCTCTCTCATCTAAAGAACTCATCATTTCTCCCACCTTGTCTTACACCAATGTTATATAGAGATTGTCCTTGGTAGGCTTTTATTAAGGTGAGACACTGAGGCTGCATCCCAAATACCACCCCATTCCATACACAGTACACTGCTTTTGATAAGAACCTATAGGGAATAGGGTGCCATTTGGGATGGCCTGAGACACTGACTAATGGCCTGTTTGTTTGTACAGTGAGAACCAGCTGCTCCAGCTGCTCTACTTAGAGTGCATCCTGTCCATGCTCAGCAGCTGTCCTCCCACCATGCACCTGAGTAGAGGCTTCACAGACCTGATCTGGTAAGCCTGCCTATGGCTGACATACAGTCACACTTCCCTGTCTGATCACCTGTCTCCTTATTCCTTATGTCCGCAGTTTAAACATACATTATTGGTAACACTTTACTTGAGGGGTACCTACATACGGTCTTCATTTCACATTCATAAGCAGTACTTGAGCACTTCATAAAGTGTTAGCTATATTATCTGTCTACATAAAACATGTGACATGTCTTGTCTTCTTCTCTCAGGAAGCAGCTGTGCCCGTCGTTGGTGGTGATCATGGGAAACCCTGTGAACGACAAGACTATCACCTCGGCCCAAGGCCACAGAGGTGGGTGTCAGGAACTGGACCCCTCTCTGGGCGGGGTGTCTAACCAGGGCCGGGGGACCGGCTGCTCCTCCACCACCCCCGCCATGATCGGCCCGGTGGTGCGGACCATCTGCTACGTGGCTGCTGAGCTGGTGCGCCTGGTGGGCTGTGTGGAGTCCATGAAGCCTGTTCTGCAGTCGCTGTACCACCGCATCCTGCTCTACCCCCCGCCACAGCACCGCGTGGAGGCCATCAAGATCATGAAGGAGGTGGTCAGAGCCCCAGAATCCTCACTGTTCACCAGTCACCTTAAATCCCCTAACATAATGTTTATAGATCAACCAATCAATTAGCCTAGCGGTTAAGAGCTTTGGGCCAGTAAGCGAAAGGTCGCTGGTTCAAATCCGCGAGCCGACTAGGTGAAAAATCTGTTGATGTGCCCTTCAGCAAGGCACTTAACCCTAATTGCTCCTGTAAGTCGTTCTGGATAAGAGCGTCTACTAAATGACTAAAATGTAAATGAATTAGACCGTGGAATGTTGCTGCTTTATCGGCAGTACCAGTTTTGCAGAGGGGATGCAATGAGCGAAAATCAACTTGGGTGTCTTTGTTTGTTTGCGTTTTGTAGATTCTGGGAAGTCCTCAGCGCTTGTTTGACCTGGCTGGTCCCTGTGTTATAGAGCCTGAGTCTAGGAAAAGGTCCTTCTCCAAGAGGAAGTCTCACCTGGACCTGCTCAAACTGTGAGGACCCACATTTTGTTATTTGATTTAGCACTATAACCTTGTAAAAAAGAATATGCCTCTACCTGTCTGTATAAGCCTGTAACCCAAAATAATATGCCTCTACCTGTCTGTATAAGCCTGTAACACAAAATAATATGCCTCTACCTGTCTGTATAAGCCTGTAACCCAAAATAATATGCCTCTACCTGTCTGTATAAGCCTGTAACCCATACATCATGTGTTGTATAGCACACTGTATTACTTATACAACTAATATAAGGACAGGACATGAGACGGGAGTAGAAATTAACGTGGGCATTGTTTTAATGCGTTTCACAGGAAGAACATTCCAAGCATTTCAATGTAGGTAAGCAAGGGGGGGTTACAGGTGCCCTAAAGGGACAAAACTAGAATATCAATACACAACATATCCCTCCCCCTTTACCTTTGATGACTCGTAAGGAAAAAGTAAATATTCACTGTTTTGCCTATTGTTTTCTTAATGTAAATAAATGAACTTTTCAGAATAACCTTTTCTAAACTAGGGATAGAGGGTAGACTGCCTCAGTCCCCAGACTTAACCCTGGGGTGTATTCTGCCCCAATATCGGAGATTAGTCTGAACTAAATAGTCAACCTGCCAGGGGGTCGTCTTTCTCTTGCAGGGTAATGACGACGTACAGGTGAGTCTACAGTCACATTATCTCTGAGTCACATTTGTAGGTTGCTGCAGTGGATGTTCAGGTGATAGCTCGTAGTCATGGTAGGTCTCCAGTAGCTGATCTTGGTTTGTCACTTGACAGGAGTCATCTCTGAGGTTGGTTCCTGGCAACAGTTGATCCAGATGATGTTTTCCGGTGTGTGAACTGTGTAGGACACAGGCCCTGTTTGTGCAACCACTGTGGCTGGTATCCACTTTGGACCTTTGCAGTAGTTCCAAGCAAGAACTCTCTCTCCAGCTATGAAGCTTCTGTCTTTTGCTTTGCTCCGTCTCTCCACCTGTGCTCTCTGTTGCATCTGTACAACCTGTCTCATCTTTGGAGATCTCAGGAGGTCGAGTCGCGTGCGAAGCTGTCTTTTCATCATGGCTGACGCGGGTGCCACTTTGGTTGTAGCGTGGGGAGTGTTTCTGTAGGTTAACAGGAAGGTGTTTAGACGCCTATTGAGGGAGCTGTTCCCTTGTGATGATTTTAAAGCTTGCTTCATCGTTTGGACAAACCTTTCAGCGAGGCCGTTCATTGCAGGGTGATACGGCGCTGACTTGATGTGCTGAATTCCATTTGCTTCCATGAATGACCGGAACTCTTCAGACACCAGTTGGGGGCCATTATCACTAACGAGTTGCGTTGGCAAGCCGAAGCAACTGAAAATTGACCGTAGCTCTTCGATGGTTCTCTCCGCTGAGGTGCTCTTCATCACTGTGACCTCAGGCCATTTGCTGTGTGCGTCAACTACGACTAAGAACATACGATCCTCCATTGGGCCTGCATAGTCTATGTGGACTCGCTGCCAAGGCTCCTCTGGGAAGTCCCATGGGTGTAGTGGCGCTAGCTGAGGCATGTTCCTCATCTTTTGACATGCAGAACATGACTTGACCTTGTCTTCGATAGCTGCATCCAGACCTGGCCACCAAAAGTAGCTGCGTGCAATCTCCTTCATTCGCACCTATGCCACAGTGCCCTGAATGGAGTTCTTCAAGCACCTACCTTCTCAGTGGCGGCGGTATAATGACTCGAAAACCCCATAGCAAGCATCCAAACTGAACTGTGAGCTCGTTTCTCCTCACTAGGTACAGTGAGGGAAAAAAAGTATTTGATCCCCTGCTGATTTTGTACGTTTGCCCACTGACAAAGACATGATCAGTCTATAATTTTAATGGGTTTATTTGAACAGTGAGAGACAGAATAACAACAACAAAATCCAGAAAAACGCATGTCAAAAATGTTATCAATTGATTTGCATTTTAATGAGGGAAATAAGTATTTGACCCCTCTGCAAAACATGACTTAGTACTTGGTGGCAAAACCCTTGTTGGCAATCACAGAGGTCAGACGTTTCTTGTAGTTGGCCACCAGGTTTGCACACATCTCAGGAGGGATTTTGTTCCATTCCTCTTTGCAGATCTTCTCCAAGTCATTAAGGTTTCGAGACTGACGTTTGGCAACTCAAACCTTCAGCTCCCTCCACAGATTTTCTATGGGATTAAGGTCTGGAGACTGGCTAGGCCACTCCAGGACCTTAATGTGCTTCTTCTTGAGCCACTCCTTTGTTGCCTTGGCCGTGTGTTTTGGGTCATTGTCATGCTGGAATACCCATTTACGACCCGTTTTCAATGCCCTGGCTGAGGGAAGGAGGTTCTCACCCAAGATTTGACGGTACATGGCCCCGTCCATCGTCCCTTTGATGCGGTGAAGTTGTCCTGTCCCCTTAGCAGAAAAACACCCCCAAAGCATAATGTTTCCACCTCCATGTTTGACAGTGGGGATGGTGTTCTTGGGGTCATAGGCAGCATTCCTCCTCCTCCAAACACGGCGAGTTGAGTTGATGCCAAATAGCTCGATTTTGGTCTCATCTGACCACAACACTTTCACCCAGTTCTCCTCTGAATCATTCAGATGTTCATTGGCAAACTTCAGACGGCCCTGTATATGTGCTTTCTTGAGCAGGGGGACCTTGCGGGCACTGCAGGATTTCAGTCCTTCACGGCATAGTGTGTTACCAATTGTTTTCTTGGTGACTATGGTCCCAGCTGCCTTGAGATCATTGACAAAATCCTCCCGTGTAGTTCTGGGCTGATTCCTCATGATCATTGCAACTCCACGCGGTGAGATCTTGCATGGAGCCCCAGGCCGAGGGAGATTGACAGTTATTTTGTGTTTCTTCCATTTGCGAATAATCGCACCAACTGTTGTCACCTTCTCACCAAGCTGCTTGGCGATGGTCTTGTAGCCCATTTCAGCCTTGTGTAGGTCTACAATCTTGTCCCTGACATCCTTGGAGAGCTCTTTGGTCTTGGCCATGGTGGAGAGTTTGGAATCTGATTGATTGATTGCTTCTGTGGACAGGTGTCTTTTATACAGGTAACAAACTGAGATTAGGAGCACTCCCTTTAAGAGTGTGCTCCTAATCTCAGCTCGTTACCTGTATAAAAGACACCTGGGAGCCAGAAATCTTTCTTATTGAGAGGGGGTCAAATACTTATTTCCCTCATTAAAATGCAAATCAATTTATAACATTTATGACATGCGTTTTTCTGGATTTCTTTGTTGTTATTCTGTCTCTCACTGTTCAAATAAACCTACCATTAAAATTATAGACTGATCATTTCTTTGTCAGTGGGCAAACGTACAAAATCAGCAGGGGATCAAATACTTTTTTCCCTCACTGTAAGGTTGTAGGCTGTCCGACATCTCTCTTTCTTTTCCACGAGTGACAATGTCCACGACCTCAGACATCACTGGATCAGTGTGGGTGAACTTTTTCACTTGGACAGATGTAACTGGGGCGTTCGTCACTTCCTTGAAGTAGAAGATTTCAGCCTGGGAGTGCTCAGTGTGTGCGACAGGTAAGGGAAGCCTTGAGAGGCCATCTGCATTGCAGTGCTGCTCAGACCTTCTGTACTTGATATCGTACTGGTGAGCAGATAACAATAACGCCCATCGCTGCATGCGGCTGGCTGCAAGCGATGGAATGCCGGTGTGGGGACCAAAGATGGAGGTGAGGGATCTATGGTCCGTCAGCAGTGTGAATCGTCGGCCAAACAGAAACTGATGAAATGTCTTAACTCCAAACACAATGGCGAGTGCTTCACGCTCTATCTGTGCATAATTGCTCTCGGCTTTACTTAAGGTCCGTGATGCGAAAGCAATTGGCCTTTCTTCACCTGATGGCATGATGTGTGAGACAACCGCACCAACGCCATAAGGCGATGCATCACATGCCAACTGTAATGGCAAGTTGGGGTTGAAGTGGGTTAGGGCCTCTAACTGAGCTAAGGCTGTTTTCACTTTCTTGAAGGCCTCCTCACATCTGTCTGTCCACTTCCACTGTTTGTTTTGTTCAAGAGTTCATGCAGTGGCTTTAACATGTTAGCTAGGTTTGGCACAAACTTTGCGTAGTATGTCAGTAGTCCTAAGAATGATCTCAGCTGACTCACGTTCTGTGGGGATGGAGCTTCTGCAACGGCCTTCACCTTTGATGGCGCCTTGTGGAGCCCCGAGCTGTCGATGACGTGGCCTAGGTACTCAACAGAGGGCCGGAAAAACTTGCATTTGTCCTTCCGGACCCTCAGACCGTCCTCCTCCAATCTCTGTAGTGTAGCGTTCAGGTTTCTCAGGTGCTCCTGCTCGTTTTTGCCGGTGATGATCACCGAGGTAACATTGGACCCCAGTGAGCCCGCTCAGTATCTGGTCCATAGCTCTCTGAAACAAGAGCTGAGGTGATTCCAAAAGGAAGCATCCGGTACCTGTACAGTCCTTTGTGAGTCACTATGGTCAACAGTTCTTGTGACTCTTGGTCCACATGCATCTGTAGATAGGCCTGACATAAGTCTATCTTACTGAATGTTTGTCCTCCAGCTAAACCAGAAAATAGGTCGTCAATGAGGGGTAGTGGATATTTTTCAGCAGTCAAGACTGGGTTAATGGTGACTTTGAAATCACCACAGAGTCTGAGTGATCCATCTTTTTTTATGACTGGAACAACGGGTGTAGCCCATTCACTAACATTCACTGGATCCAATACTCCACTCTCGACTAGTCTGTTTAGCTCAATTTCTACTTTTGGTTTTATGGCGTATGGGACAGGTCTAGCTTTTAAGCATTTTGGCTTGCTGTCTGGTTTCACGGTCAGTTTAACAGTTATGTCCTTCATACTGCCAAGTTCTCCTTTGAACACATCCGCGTGTTTCCTCAATATCCCTTGTAGGTTTGTGTCCTCTTTTGCAACCATGTGAATTTCCTGCCAGTTTAGTTTGATATTTTACATTTACATTTACATTTTAGTCATTTAGCAGACGCTCTTATCCAGAGCGACTTACAGGAGCAATTAGGGTTAAGTGCCTTGCTCAAGGGCACATTAACGTCATTTAGCAGACGCTCTTAGCCAGAGCGACTCACAAATTGGTCCGTTCACCGTATAGCCAGTGGGATAACCACTTTACAATTGGGGGGGGGGGGTAGAAGGATTCCTTTATCCTATCCCAGGTATTCCTTAAAGAGGTGGGGTTTCAAATGTCTCCGGAAGGTGGTGAGTGACTGTCACGTGAATTTCTATCTCTAATTCACCCTAAGCTTGAATCATTACCAGAGGTTGTAAGGCTCTAGTTTTAATCATCAATGATTCAAGGTCCACAACTCACAAGTCTTATCTGTATTTTTATCCATGGTGAGAGCTCTGAGGCCAAAACACAAATCTCCTTTCTTTATACTTCTTGACAACAAAGACACTATACTCCTCCCACCTTTCTTAAACAGTTCCCGCCTCCCCCCTTGAATGGTTAGTAACGCCCCTTCTGTTAGTGGGTTGACACATGATAATTCTAACATTTATACTGTGTTTGGGGTGTAATTCTTTAGTCATTATTCTTAGTACACAAATTCATCTATCAGTGACTCCGCTGTCCTGGCGTCGTGAGGGAGCTTGTTCCACCATTGGGGTGCCAGAGCAGCGAACAGTTTTGACTGGGCTGAGCGGGAACTATGCTTCCGCAGAGGAAGGGGAGCCAGCAGGCCAGAGGTGGATGAGCGCAATACTCTCGTTTGGGTGTAGGGACTGATCAGAGCCTGAAGGTACAGAGGTGCCGTTCCCCTCACTGCTCCATAGGCAAGCACCATGGTCTTGTAGCGGATGCGAGCTTCAACTGGAAGCCAGTGGAGTGTGCGGAGGAGGGGGGTGACGTGAGAGAACTTGGGAAGGTTGAACACCAGACGGGCTGCGGCATTCTGGATGAGTTGTAGGGGTTTAATGGCACAGGCAGGGAGGCCAGCCAACAGCGAGTTGCAGTAGTCCAGACGGGAGATGACAAGCGCCTGGACCAGGACCTGTGCCGCTTCCTGTGTAAGGCAGGGTCGTACTCTCCGAATGTTGTAGAGCATGAACCTGCAGGAGCGGGTCACCGCCTTGATGTTGGCGGAGAACGACAGGGTGTTGTCCAGGGTCACGCCTAGGCTCTTTTTCAGCCATGTGCGTCCTAGCAATGCTGGATGGTTGCCTTTCACAATGTAGAGTGGTAACTTTACCTTCTGTTTGTTGAGCTCCACTGTAACAATCACGCTTCCTCTCACTGGAACAATCTCACCGGTGTATGTTTTCAGCGTCGTCTTTGTGGGCTGTAGTGTGAGGTGATGTAGTTTATCCTTGTATACAGCCTCAGACAGCAAAGATATGGCTGCTCCAGTGTCCACTTGCATCCGTACTGCGTTTCCATCCAGTAGCGGTGTCACCCAGTACCCGTATCCATTGTCTGAAATTGACATAACATGCAAAGATTCTTCCCCTTCAGACAGGGTATCACTTTGTTCATCCTCTGTGTGCTCCATTTTATGCACTTTCTTTTTGTACTTCCTGAAGTCCCTTTTCCTTTGTTCAGTACTTTTGTTTGATTGTGTCTTTTTGTTTTTACATGCAAGTTCGATGTGACCCTTTTTACCACAACTTCTGCAGTCTTTGCACCAACACTCCTCTGCTTGGTGACCTGGTTTCCCACAGCGATAGCATGGCTTCCCACCTCCTGCCTTGGTTTTTAACTCCATAGACACCTTATGCACTTTGGTCGATGCACTTAGCTGTTGTGCGTCTTTATTTGCCATTTCCATTGACGTACTCACTTCTATTGCTCTCTGCAATGTTAAGTTACTCTCAGTCAAAAGGCATTTCTGAATTGCCTCGCTGTGCATGCCACACACTAACCTATCACGTATAGTGTCACTCATTGATCGCCCAAATTCACAGTGTTCAGATAACTGTTTCAATACAGCCACAAACTGTGAGATTGATTCCCCCTCCTCTTGATTTCTCTCATGAAACCGGAATCTCTCTGCGATTATCAGTGGTTATGGAGAATAATGTCCTTTTAAGGTAGCCACAATTTCATCATATGATTTATCACCAGGTTTTTCAGGCGTTACTAGGCTGCGCAGTAGATTGAATGAATGTTTTTCCTCCCATAACAGTCAAAAATGTTGGCACAACGACTTCAGCTTTATTTCCATTTGTCAACACAAAGTACTCATAACGTTCTGTGTAAGAACTCCATTGTTCCACAGATTCATCAAATGTTCCTATATTTCCAATCAATGCAGACATTTTCGGTTTATTTTTCTTTCTTTTAACTCACGATGACTTCACTTTCTCCCGCAGCGAAACTCTTCCTATCCCTCAAGGCTCTTGTTGCCGTGACATCAAAGGCTAGCTAGCATCACTCAACTGGCTAGCTCCACGTTATGTTTGCATCTTTCTACAGCGAGAAAAATAAATAAATAACGAATTTAACTCAGACTTTCTGCCGAAGACGAAGAGCACAAACGTGAGAACATTTCTTCCTCGTCGCCAGTTTTGTTGTATAGCACACTGTATTACTTATACAACTAATATAAGGACAGGACATGAGACGGGAGTAGAAATTAACGTGGGTATTGTTTTAATGCGTTTCACAGGTAGAACATTCCAAGCATTTCAACGTAGGTAAGCAAGGGGGTGTTACAGGTGCCCTAAAGGGACAAAACTAGAATATCAATACACAACATCATGGACTAGTGAGAAGGAAGTAGTACTGTTGTAAACTGATACGTAGTGTTAATGGTGTGCCTGTGTGTGTCTATGTGTGTGTACCTACAGGGTGATGGACGGCATGACCGAGGCCTGTATGAAGGGGGGCATCGAGGCCTGCTACTCCTCAGTATCGTGTGCCTGTGCCCTCCTGGGAGCTCTGGACGAGCTGAGTCATGGGCGTGGCCTACAGTCAGAACAGGCCCGCGTGCTCCTGTGCCGATTGGACGAGCTGAAAGAGGGGGCAGAATCCACGCGGGAGTCCATGGAGATCAATGAGGCGGACTTCCGCTGGCAGCGCCACGTCCTCTCGTCTGCGCACGCTCCCTGGGAGCCCTCTGCCACCACCATCACAGAGCACAGCCCCGACATCAGCATCAGCGTCACCATGGATACGGCCCAGACCACTCTGGATGGGGAGCTGGGACAGACCACTTCAGAGGGGGAGGAGTGTGGGGAAGAACCCCGACTCCCTTCGCCTTCCTCTGGTGGGCCGGACGCTGACCCCTACCCTGAGCTCCGTCCCTGTGTGAGGGAGCCGGGGACGGAGCCCGGAGGACCCCCAGATGTGGTGCAGCGCAGCCACGCCCTTGTTTACCCTGACATCACCAACTTCCTGTCCGTGGATGCCCGTGCGCATTCCCACGGCTCGCGCTACAGTGAGTGCAACTTTAGCGTGGACGAGGGGGAGATGTCACGCACTGAGTTTGATTCCTGCGACCAGTACTCCATGGCAGCGGAGAAGGACTCGGGTCGCTCAGACGTGTCAGACATGGGCTCTGATAACTGCTCCCTGGCCGATGAGGAGCAGACACCCAGGGACTGTCCCGGCCACCGCTCCCTGAGGACGGCAGCCCTGTCCCTGAAGCTACTGAAGAACCAGGAGGCTGACCAGCAGAGCGCCCGGCTCTTTGTCCAGTCTCTGGCCGGCCTGCTGCCTCGCCTGCTGGGGATGCACAGCACAACAGACGTGGACACTTCTCTGCAGAACTTCTCCTCTACATTCTGCTCCGGCCTACAGGCGGGTAAGAGATACAGAGAGGAGCTGAAGGGAGATAGCATGAGATAATGAAGAGAGGACGTGAGATGACATCAGATGTCATTGAAACGTCCATTGAAGCAATGATAGTATCTTATTCTGCGAAGACATCCTCTAATATTTCTAGGTCCCACTGTTTGATGGAGACACTAGGGGATAATATTGACCTGGTTGCATCCTTATGTTCTCTCCCAGGTGGCATCCACTCTCCAGGCTATGAAGGCAGTGAGAACCTGAACTGTCAGGCCCTGATGAACGCTGACGGCCTTTACCTGGTCTCCTACTACGCCTTGCTCCTCAACCTCAAACTCTGCTGCCAGGACTTCTACCGCAGGAGGCCCATGCCTGTGCTGGTCAGTCTGGTGAGTGGAGGAGGTGGAGTCAATGTCTTAGTGCACTAAAGCTGATATTCCTGTGTATGTCAGAGAGGTTTGTGAACCCTGAAGTGATCAGCTGAACACCATGTAGTACATGCTCTGTAGCCAGTTCTTTTGTTTACGTGCTTGATATATTTTGAAGTGATCCCACCAGGCTTCATGGTTTCCCCATTGAATTGTCTCATCTGCTGCAGAAAGAATTTGTTGGTCTCATCCAGAGCAGTGGGGTGCTAGTGGTGCTGTCTCAGGCCTGGATCGAGGAGCTCTACCTCAAGGTGCTGGACAGGAACCTGCTGGGGGAGGCTGGCTACTGGGGCTCACCAGAGGAACAGTCCTTACCCCTCATCACCATGCTCACTGGTAGGAGGGGACACAGCTCTCCCACACTGCTTTATTCATGAGGTTTCTTTATATGTCAACATAAAGATATAAAATTAACATAATGCACATTTGAGTCTTTAAAATGTTCTGCTATGTTTTTCTGACAACTCTCATCACTTTGTGTCCTCTCTCTCTGTCTGTCTGTCTGTCTCTCTCTCTCTCTCTCTTTCGCTCTCTCGGTCTCACTCTTGCTCTCTCTGTCTCTCTCTCTCTCTCGCTCTGTCTCTCTCTCTGTCTCTCTCTGTCTTTCTCTCTGTCTGTCTCTCTCTGTCTCTGGTCAGATATCGATGGGCTGGGCAGTAGTGCCATCAGAGGTCAGCTGATCCGTAAGGCCAACACACAGTCCCCTTTCAGCTGTGACAAGAGTGGCAGTGACACCCTCATGGCAGGTACTGACACCACCAGGTACTTACACCACCAGGTACAGACACCCCCAGGTACTGACACCTCCAGCTGTACTTTCTGAGTCGCTTCACCAAGACAGTATTTGCTATATTTTGTTTAGATATTTAGGAATATTGTATTGTGTATTCTGTTTAGGATTTTTGGGGGGGGCATTTTGCTTTATTCAGACAGATTAGAAACAGTGGGGCAAACAGATTAGGAGGAGACAAAGTGGGAAGGGTGGAGAAGGGGACTGAACCCTGGTCTATCCCGTGGCATACATGAGCCTAGATGCTGTACTCTCTACATGGAGAGAGAAATATGTTGTTCTCCTTGCATCTCTCACAGGGGAGAGAATGGAGAGCTGCCAGCGTCTGCCTACATCTTTTATTATCACTGGGAACAAAAGGCGCACCGTCAAGCACTCGCGCCACTTTGTTACCACAGCAACCGCTGCTGTGTTGCTAATTAGGCATTACAGCTTCCATGTAATTAGCTAGCTATGTACACATAATCAATAGGGACAACTATATTAACATGGAACGGAGAGAAAAGGGATTGTTGTCAGTTCTAATATTTACTTCCCTGTATGAGAGGTTATTGTCACACAGAGTGCCTTTATAGCTCTTAAATCTCTCAAGGTCTCTCTAACTGGACTGCAGTTTACTGCCTGTCTGTTTACTGCCTGTCTGTTTACTGCCTGCCTGTTTACTGTCTAAGTTTACTGCCTGTCTGTTTACTGCCTGTCTGTTTACTGCCTGCCTGTTTACTGCCTGCCTGTTTACTGCCTCTGAGCAAATAATTCTACAGCACATTACAGAACTGCTGGGTCAATACACAGATAGATATAGTGTAGGTTCTGACTTATCTCCCATTAGTGCCTTTTCAGGCAAGGGGTCTTTGTCAATAGACGTGGATGTACTGTATCCTGTTTTAAAGGTCTGATTCAACCCCATTGTGCTGTAGCATAGGTATTGGTCAATACAAAGATGAGGGTCTGACTCGCAGGTTGGCATTTATTGTCATGAATCTTGCCCTGGAGGCAGCTCTGCAGACTGGCACAGCCACAAAGTCATAAAACTGATTTTTAATCTAACCCTAACTTTAATCTTAAACTAAACCACACTGCTAACCCTAATGCCTAACCCAAACTGTAAAAGACCAAAAAGCAAATGTTTGTTTTCATGAATTTCTACGATGTAGCCATTCATACTGTTTCATGATCAATAGTCTACTGTACACAGCTGAATGTACTGTATGCTGTATTTAAAGCTAGAACAGCATTTGCTACATCCATTTGTGGACTTAAATTAAAGATATACACTGAGTATACAAAACATGCTCTTTCCATGACATAGACTGACCAGGTGAAAGCTATGATCCCTTATTGATGTCACTTGTTAAATCCACTTCAATCAGTGTAGATGAAGGGGAGGAGACAGGTTAAATAAGTATTTTTAAGCCTTGAGACAATTGAGACATGGATTGTGTATGTGTGCCATTCAGAGGGTGAATGGGCAAGACAAAATATTTAAGTGCCTTTGAATGGGGTATGGTAGTAGGTACCAGGCGCACCAGTTTGTGTCATGAACTGCAACTCTGCTGGGTTTTTCACGATCAACAGATTCCCATGTGTATCAAGAATGGTCCACTACCCAAAGGACATCCAGCCAACTTGACACAACTGTGGGAAGTATTGGAGTCAATATGGGCCAGCATCTCTGTGGAACGCTTTCGACACCTTGTAGAGTCCATGCCCCTATGAATTGAGGCTGTTCTGAGAGAAAAAGGAAGGGGGTGCAACTCAATATTAGGAAGGTGTCCCTAATGTTTGGTATACTCAGTGTATACCCATTGATTCTTGAAGAATATAACTTCTAAATGCCTCGTGAGCTTAGTTTAACTGTCCTCCCCATCAGAACCCAAAATAGAAGCTTGTTTTACTCCAATGTTTGTAAACAATGTAAATGGAAACAAACACTGTATAGCCTCAAAACATGGTTCAATCTATAATGTTGGTATCATGGATGGTCAGTCCTTGCATCCATAACTCTGTATATGAAGTGGTTACATTTCTCCAGACCCATCCCTCAGCTTTTTACCAAAACAGAGGTGGGGTGCCACTTTGTTATTGTTTCAACTGCGGATTCTAGCTTCAAGGGTCTGACTCATCCCCCATTGATCCTGTTTCATACATAGGGGCAGTGTCGTGGAATATTCTAATCAAGTGAGAGAGACTGTCATTTCTTCAACAATCATCTTTATTCAATATCGATTTCATTATTGCAAAAATGAGACTTGTCGACCCAACACACTTGACTGTTGGGCCGAGAGCCTAACCTTTACAGAAAATGCTGGTTCTTATATAGCTGACACTAAAAATGCTTAGTCATGGCTGGTTCCACCCCTCCCATGCAGATCGGGTGCCATCATAAGCCACCTTGGGTTCATCCTATGGTTATCTGCACCTGGTGTTGTTTCAACCCCCAGCCCAAATACAAGGATGAACAGAAACAATAAGGGTTTTGTTCTACTCCTCCAGGTTATCTCTATCTCGGTTACACCCACCACAGCTTGTCTATGGAATGCATGCTGTAGATCAATTGTCAGTGCAAGCTACCTCTAGTGACCATCCGCCCAGATTAGCTGCAGGGAGCCAGAGTGGAGACCATAAAAACACAGCATTACTATTTGTTAAGTATTAATATCAAACAAATCAGGTAAATACGTAATTTTTATCTCACAGTTGATACATGGTTCAATGTACAGATAGGGGTCTGACTCAACCTTCATTGATATTATTTCAGGCAGAGTGTTTGCCCGCTACATTCTGATGGGCTGCTGGAAGAACCTGATGGACACCCTGTCCACCCCTCTGACGGGGCGCATGGCGGGCAGCGCCAAGGGCCTGGCCTTCATGCTGGGGTCTGAGGGGCTGAAGGAGCAGAGCCAGAGGGAGAGAGATGCCATCTGTCTCAGCCTGGATGGACTACGCAAGGCAGCCGGGCTCAGCTGTGCACTAGGTAACAGGACCCAACACCATGGTGACTGGAGATAATGCCTGCCTGACTGACTATAATCCTTAAACAGGAAGGGTGTAGTAAACCCATTAGCTAGCGTGTTTACATCAGAGGCAGGCTGGGTCAAAGTATTTGAAAGAAAACAAAAACGATTTGATTACAGGTCTGGTTTAGAGATGTTTCCAGAAAGACGTTTTAAGATAATCGAATTCCTGAATACTTAATAGGCCTATTTGTGTAGCTATTGAAAATAGATACTGTATGATACTGTATGAATTAAGACCATAAATTGTTGTGATTCTCTGTTTGACTGTAGATGCTGCTATTGGCCAGGCACTCTGTGACAGGTGGCATAGTCCCTCCCAGCCCAGCTTGTCTTATTTACCATTATATCTAATGAATATTCATGCCTTCTCTAGGTGTGGCTGCCAATTGTGCCTCGGCTCTGGCCCAGATGGCAGCAGCCTCGTGTGTGCAGGAGGAGAAGGAGGAGAGGGGGGTGGGCGAGTCTGGAGATGCCATCACACAAGGTACTTACAGCCCCCCACATAACATACTGTGCTGTACACAGGGATTCAATTGACTGTTTCAAACTAAGACACCCACTGTACTATAAATCTACTGTAGACACAAAAAATTACTTTGGATTTGTCATTACTGCACAAGACAGGATACAGGATAAAGAATCTCTCTATTTCAGAAAAGATCCCATTGTCATATGGTCACATTTTGTTTTTGGAGCGGTGCTGTCTGGAGTGCTGGGATCTGTTCTGATCCTGTGTGTGTTCCCAGTCAAGCAGTGCGTGGAGCAGAAGCTGGAGCAGATGGGACGTCCTCAGGGGGTGCGGCTGCACACGGCCCACGTGCTCTGCATGGAGGCCATCTTCAACGTGGGCCTGGAGATGGGCAGCCACAACCAGGACTGCTGGCCCCACGTCTTCAGGTAACACAGCCAAGCTGTGGCAGGGCAGGCGATGCAGAGACATAGAAGAAGAAACCCTCTCCATAACAATTCAGAAAAGGCTGAGACAGGCATTCATGACAGCGTATTACATTGGATTCATTCATGACAGCGTATTACATTGGATTCATTAATGATGGCATATTACATTGGATTCATTCATGACAGCATATTACATTGGATTCATTCATGACAGCATATTACATTGGATTCATTCATAACAGTGTATTATACTTGATTCATTCATGACATTGTATTACACTTGATTCATTCATGACAGTGTATTGCATTGAATTAATTCATGACATTGTATTACACTTGATTAATTCATGACAGTGTATGACATTAGATTATTCGTGACAGTGTATGACATTGGATTCATTCATGACGGTGTATTACATTGGATTCATTCATGACAGCGTATTACATTGGATTCATTCATGATGGCGTATTACATTGGATTCATTCATGACGGCATATTACATTGGATTAATTCATGACAGCGTATTACATTGGATTAATTCATGACAACGTATTACATTGGATTAATTCATGACAATGTATTACATTGGATTCATTCATGACAGCGTATTACATTGGATTCATTCATGACAGCGTATTACATTGGATTCATTCATGACAGCATATTACATTGGATTCATTCATGACAGTGTATTACACTTGATTCATTCATGACAGTGTATTACACTTGATTCATTCATGACAGTGTATTACACTTGATTCATTCATGACAGTGTATGACATTAGATTCATTCATGACAATGTATGACATTGGATTCATTCATGACATTGTATTACATTGGATTCATTCATGACGGCGTATTACATTGGATTCAATCATGATGGCATATTACATTGGATTCATTCATGACGGCGTATTACATTGGATTCATTCATGACAGCATATTACATTGGATTCATTCATGACAGCGTATTACATTGGATTCATTCATGACAGTGTATTACATTGGATTCATTCATGACAGTGTATTACATTGGATTCATTCATGACAGTGTATTACATTGGATTCTTGGTACAGTTGCAGCCACAGGTTACTAACACTAATCTCTGTAACGACAGAACAATACAGTAGCGTACCTGTCTCTGTCTATCCAGGGTGAGTGAATATGTCAGCTCTCTGGAGCACAGCCATTTCAGCGATGGCAGCTCCCAGGCCACCATGACCATCACCCAGGCCCAGCAGGCCTTAGACCTGGGGCTGGATTTGTGCGGCGAGCCCAGTCCGGATAGAGAGCTTGCCCTGAGCAGCCAGCCGGTCATCCAGCCCCAGTCCCTACAGGAGCTGCTGAGGGAGGGCAGCTGGGGGAAAGGCCTGGACCGTAGCCTGATGACGGGGACCATTGCATCCAAGGCCGTCTGCACTCTATCTACACAGGCAGACAGGTACCGCATTATAGGCTACAGGACTCTAATGTTTTGTCCACTGTGTCTGAATCACATACTCAGTTTCATATTGTCCTTTGTCTTTCTGTTTCATTGACTTCCATGTCTGAATATAAAACAATGTAGTTGCTGTTGACTGAATGTTACTAGGCTGCAACACAAATGTTGTAATTTAAGTCAGGAACAAAACAGCCGGCCATGTAAAGAAAGTGGCCACCAGGTGACAGTGTGGATCAAGCGCAGCTAAAAAACTTGAAAGTATTGGACTGTATTTGACACAGGCCAGTACGGCTATGTTTACACAGGCAGGCCAATTATTATATTTTTCCACTAATTGGTCTTTTGACCAATCACATAAGATCTTTTCACTTCAGCTCTTTTTAGAGCTGATCTAATTGGTCAAAAGATCAGAATTGGTCTGCCTGTGTAAATGCAGCTTATGATTTGCTATTGATTGTACAAAGAGTCACATGGTCATGCAGCATGTTCTCTTCTGGACATAGGCCATGATGGATGAGCTATAGCCTGCAGTGTTTACAGAACTACAGTACCAGTCAAAAGTTTGGACACACCTACTCATTCAAGGGTTCTTCTTTCTTTTTACTATTTTCTACATTGTAGAATAATAGTGAAGACATCAAAACTATGAAATAACACATATAGAATCATGTAGTAACCAAAAAAGTGTTAAACAAATCAAAATATATTTTAGATTCTTCAAAGTAGCCACCCTTTGCCTTGATGACAGCTTTGCACACTCTTGGCATTCTCTCAACCAGCTTCACCTGGAATGCTTTTCCAACAGTCTTGAAGGAGTTCCCACATATGCTGAGCACTTGTTGGCTGCTTTTCCTTTACTCTGCGGTCCAATTCATCCCAAACCATCTCAATTGGGTTGAGTTCGGGTGATTGTGGAGGCCAAGTCATCTGATGCAGCACTCCATCACTCTCCTTCTTGGTCAAATAACCCTTACACAGCCTGGAGGTGTGTTTTGGGTCATTGTCTTGTTGAAAATCAAATGATAGTCACTCTAAGCGCAAACCAGATGGGCTGGCGTATCGCTGCAGAATGCTGTGGTAGCCATGCTGGTTAAGTGTGCCTTGAATTCTAAATAAATCCCAGACAGTGTAACGAGCAAAGCACCCCCACACCATCACACGTCCTCCTCCATGCTTCACGGTGGGAACCACACATGCGGAGATCATCCTCTCACAAAGACACGGCGGTTGGAACCAAAAATCTCAATTTGGACTCATCAGACCAAAGGACAGATTTCCCCGGTCTAATGTCCATTGCTCGTGTTTCTTGGCCCAAGCAAGTCTTCTTATTATTGGTGTCCTTTAGTAGTGGTTTCTTTGCAGCAATTCAACCATGAAGGCCTGATTCACGCAGTCTCCTCTGACCAGCTGATGTTGAGATGTGTCTGTTACTTCAACTCTCATTTATTTGGCCTGCAATCTGAGGTGCAGTTAATTGCCGATTTCTGAGGCTGGTAACTCTAATGAACTTATCCTCTGCAGCAGAGGTAACTCTGGGTCTTCCTTTCCTGTGGCGGTCCTCATGAGAGCCAGTTTCATCATAGCACTTGATGGTTTTTGCAATTGCATTTGAAGAAACATTCAAAGTTCTTGAAATATTCCGGATTGACTGACCTTCATGTCTTAAAGTAATGATGGACTGTCGTTTCTCTTTGCTTATTTGAGCTGTTCTTGCCATAATATGGACTTGGTCTTTTACCAAATAGGGATATCTTCTGTGTACCAACCTTACCTTGTCACAACACAACTAATTGGCTCATATGCATTAAGAAGGATATAAATTCCACAAATTAACAAGGCACACCTGTTAATTTAAATGAATTCCAGGTGACTACCTCATGAATGGTTGAGAGAATGCCAAGAGTGTGCAAAGCTGTCATCAAGGCAAAGGGTGGCTACTTTGAAGAATCTAAAATCTAAAATATATTTTGATTTGTTTAACACTTTTTTGGTTACTACATGATTCCATATGTGTTATTTCATAGTTTTGATGTCTTCACTATTATTCTACAATGTAGAAAATAGTACAAATAAAGAAAGACCCTGAAATGATAGTCCCACAGATTTCCAATGGGCTTGTGGGGATTCCATTGTAGAATTGTGGTCCTACATAGAATTGTTCCATTCTACATTGTAGAATTGTGGTCCTCTGTAGCTCAGCTGGTAGAGCACGGCGCTTGTAACGCCAAGGTAGTGGGTTCGATCCCCGGGACCACCCATACACAAAAATGTATGCACGCATGACTGTAAGTCGCTTTGGATAAAAGCGTCTGCTAAATGGCATATTATATTATATTATTTTATTATTATTCCTTTCTGCTGTTTTAAGAATACATTGACAATCATTTGCTCTTCACTGTGTGTCCTTTTTTGCAGGTTGTTTGAGGACTCCGTCTGTAAGCTTAACCTGGTTGGCCTGGTGGGTTTCCTGCACCAGCTGAGGAAGGCATCTCAGTCCCAGCTCTTTGACTCAGTCACTGAGACAGGAGACTATTCCTTAGCCATGCCAGGTACCAAACACAGCACACTGTCATTCCCAACAGACCTGGGTCAAAACCCTGATTCAAATTAGCCCAGTACAATGGAACAGTCCCAAAAGTGCTAACTCAAAAGTTAGACACAGGTCTGATCCACAATGTTCATGGAAAAATAGCCTTTTACAGGAGCAAATGAACCATCATGTTGCCTTTGTCCTTGTAGGAGAGGCCAAGTCCACCATGGACAGGCGTAGCGCCCTGCACCTGTTCCGCCTAGGGGAGGCCATGCTGCGGATCGTGAGGAATAAGACCAGACCCCTGCTGCACATGATGAGGGCCTGGAGCGTAGTGGCACCACACCTGGTGGAGGTAGGAACAACACACAGGTAGGAGCCCCACACCTGATGGATGTAGGAGCACCACACCTGGTGGATGTAGGAGCAACACACAGGTAGGAGCACCACACCTGGTGGAGGTAGGAGCACCACCACACCTGGTGGAGGTAGGACCGCCACCACACCTGGTGGAGGTAGGAGCACCGCACAGGTAGGAGCACCACACCTGGTGGAGGTAGGAGCACCACCACACCTGGCGGAGGTAGGAGCACCGCACAGGTAGGAGCACCACACCTGGCGGAGGTAGGCGCACCACCACACCTGGCGGAGGTAGGAGCACCACCACACCTGGCGGAGGTAGGAGCACCACCACACCTGGCGGAGGTAGGAGCACCACCACACCTGGCGGAGGTAGGAGCACCACCACACCTGGCGGAGGTAGGCGCACCACCACACCTGGCGGAGGTAGGAGCGCTACACCAGGCGGAGGTAGGAGCACCATACCTGGTGGAGGTAGGAGCACCACACAGGTAGGAGCACCACCACACCTGGTGGAGGAAGGAGCACCACCACACCTGGTGGAGGTAGGAGCACAACCAGACCTGGGTGAGGTAGGAGTACCACCACACAGGTAGGAGCACCACACCTGGTGGAGGTAGGAGGTGCACCACACCTGGTGGAGGTAGGAGCTCAGGGAATGCGTCTCAACTGTGTGGCCTCCTTTGCTTATGTCCTCTCCTCCACGATCACTGATCTGGCGTGGCCTAACAGGTTCACCCTTTCTGCAGTTTAAATTAGGCATATATTGTTCTCATTTCTGTTTCTCTCTGTCTCCTCTGAGGCTGCCTGCCACAAAGAGCGCCATGTATCCCAGAAGGCTGTGTCCTTCATCCATGACGTTCTGATGGAGGTGCTGACCAGCTGGGCAGAGCTTCCTCACTTCCACTTTAACGAGGCGCTCTTCAGACCCTTCGAACACATCATGCAGCTGGAGCTGTGTGACGAGGACGTACAGGACCAGGTTAGTTGTCTCTCACACACATAAGGTCTCCTTAACGCCCTCTTATAATTAGTTGACCCGGTAGTTAAGAACCTGCTGTTTGTCTGTCAGGTGGTCACATCCATAGGGGAGCTGGTAGAGATGTGTTCCCCTCAGATCCAGTCTGGCTGGAGACCCTTATTCAGTGCCCTGAGGACCGTGCATGGGACAGACATGAAAGACTACCTGATAGGAGAATACTCCATGGGTATGTATGTCTGACAGGCAGCCTAGTCTTAGAGTTTATTACATCTCAATGTTTCTGTGTATTATTGTATTCCCTAATGTACTGCACAGGTAACATATTTCTGTTGTTGTCACGCCCTGGCTCTGGGGACGCTGTTATGTTGAGCCAGGGTGTGTATTCTATGTTTGTATTTCTATGTTGGCCTGAGTGACTCCCAATCAGAGGCAACGAGTGTCTGCTGGTTGTCTCTGATTGGGAGCCATATTTACTGTCTGTCTTTAACTTTGTGTTTGTGGTTTCTTGTTCGTGTTGGTTTGTGTTTAAACCATAGACGTCACGTTTTTTCGTTTGTTGTTTTGATCGTGTGATCATTAAATAAATATAATATGTTCACCTTCAACGCTGCGCATTGGTCTCTCCCTGACGATCGTGACAGAAGAAACCACCAAAACTGGACCAAGCAGCGTGTCCAGGAGCCATTGCCTGGGGAATCGCTTGCAGATCTCCGTGGCAACCTCGACTGGGTCCAACCTTGTAAAGAGCAGAGTGGATGGACTTGGGAACAGTGGAGGAAGAGTTTCGACTGGGTCAAGCCTAATGAAGAGCAGAATGGCTGGAGTTGGAGACAGAGGAGCGAGAGTTGGGCGAGAACGATAGAGGCCTGGCCCACGGGGAGGAGAGACCCCCAGAAATGTTTTAGGGGGGGGCTCACGACGTCGGGGCAGCAGGAGGCCGCGATAGAGCGGTCCAGCGGGTTGGCAGAGGAGGCCGCCAGGTTACGGGGGCCACTGGTCGAAGAGGGGATGGAAGGTGGAGAGGCACGGCGAGAGGTACTGGGGTGTGTTACCAGTCCGGTCCGGCCCGTTCCAGATCCCGGTGTAGGGCCAGTGGTGTGTGTCCCCAGTACGGTCCGGTCTGTTCCTGCTCCCCGCACCAAGTCTGTGGTGCGTTTCGTCAGCCCTGTCCGGCCCGTTCCTGCTCTCCGCACCAGGTCTGTGGTGCGCGTCGCCAGCCCGGTCCGGCCCGTTCCTGCTCCCCGCACCAAGTCTGTGGTGCGTTTCGTCAGCCCTGTCCGGCCCGTTCCTGCTCCCCGCACCAAGTCTGTGGTGCGTCTCGTCAGCCCGGCTCGGCCCGTTCCTGCTCCCCGCTCCAAGTCAGTGGTGCGCTTCGTCAGCCCGGCTCGGCCCATTCCTGCTCCCCGCACCAAGTCTGTGGTGCGTTTTGTCAGCCCGGCTCGGCCCATTCCTGCTCCCCGCACCAAGTCTGTGGTGCGTTTCGTCAGCCCTGTCCGGCCCGTTCCTGCTCTCCGCGCCGAGTCTGTGGTGCGCGTCGCCAGCCCGGTCCGGCCCGTTCCTGCTCCCCGCACCAAGTCTGTGGTGCGTTTCGTCAGCCCTGTCCGGCCCGCTCCTGCACCCCACACCAAGCCAGTGGTGTGCGTCGTCAGTCCAGCACGGCCCGTGCCTGTTCCCCACACCAAGCCAGTGGTGTGCGTCGTCGGTCCGGCACGGCCCGTGCCTGTTCCACTGGTGCCTGGTCCGGCACCGGTCAGATGCGTTACGCCGGAGCTAAAGCAATCCGCTCCATCAGTGTGCAGTCCAGCTCCGGCCAGCGGGGCCAGACCGGACCAGGGGTACTTTGGGGGGTTGGAGAGGGAGTGGGGATCAGGCCCGGAGCCGGATCCGCCGCCAAGGCGGAGTGCCCACCCGGTCCCTCCCCTGTGGTATTTAGTTGGCGCGGTCGGAGTCCGCGCCTTTGGGGGGGGGGTACTGTCACGCCCTGGCTCTGGGGACGCTGTTATGTTGAGCCAGGGTGTGTATTCTATGTTTGTATTTCTATGTTGGCCTGAGTGACTCCCAATCAGAGGCAACGAGTGTCTGCTGGTTGTCTCTGATTGGGAGCCATATTTACTGTCTGTCTTTCACTTTGTGTTTGTGGTTTCTTGTTCGTGTTGGTTTGTGTTTAAACCATAGACGTCACGTTTTTTCGTTTGTTGTTTTGATCGTGTGATCATTAAATAAATATAATATGTTCACCTTCAACGCTGCGCATTGGTCTCTCCCTGACGATCGTGACAGTTGTATTATTGTATTACCTAATGTACTGCACAGGTAACATATTTCTGTTGTATTATTGTATTCCCTAATGTACTGCACAGGTAACATATTTATGTTGTATTATTGTATTACCTAATGTACTGCACAGGTAACATATTTATGTTGTATTATTGTATTACCTAATGTACTGCACAGGTAACATATTTATGTTGTATTATTGTATTCCCTAATGTACTGCACAGGTAACATATTTATGTTGTATTATTGTATTACCTAATGTACTGCACAGGTAACATATTTCTGTTGTATTATTGTATTACCTAATGTACTGCACAGGTAACCTATTTCTGTTGTATTATTGTATTCCCTAATGTACTGCACAGGTAACATATTTCTGTTGTATTATTGTATTCCCTAATGTACTGCACAGGTAACATATTTCTGTTGTTGTCACGCCCTGGCTCTGGGGACGCTGTTATGTTGAGCCAGGGTGTGTATTCTATGTTTGTATTTCTATGTTGGCCTGAGTGACTCCCAATCAGAGGCAACGAGTGTCTGCTGGTTGTCTCTGATTGGGAGCCATATTTACTGTCTGTCTTTCACTTTGTGTTTGTGGTTTCTTGTTCGTGTTGGTTTGTGTTTAAACCATAGACGTCACGTTTTTTCGTTTGTTGTTTTGATCGTGTGATCATTAAATAAATATAATATGTTCACCTTCAACGCTGCGCATTGGTCTCTCCCTGACGATCGTGACAGAAGAAACCACCAAAACTGGACCAAGCAGCGTGTCCAGGAGCCATTGCCTGGGGAATCGCTTGCAGATCTCCGTGGCAACCTCGACTGGGTCCAGCCTTGTAAAGAGCAGAGTGGATGGACTTGGGAACAGTGGAGGAAGAGTTTCGACTGGGTCAAGCCTAATGAAGAGCAGAATGGCTGGAGTTGGAGACAGAGGAGCGAGAGTTGGGCGAGAACGATAGAGGCCTGGCCCACGGGGAGGAGAGACCCCCAGAAATGTTTTAGGGGGGGGCTCACGACGTCGGGGCAGCAGGAGGCCGCGATAGAGCGGTCCAGCGGGTTGGCAGAGGAGGCCGCCAGGTTACGGGGGCCACTGGTCGAAGAGGGGATGGAAGGTGGAGAGGCACGGCGAGAGGTACTGGGGTGTGTTACCAGTCCGGTCCGGCCCGTTCCAGATCCCGGTGTAGGGCCAGTGGTGTGTGTCCCCAGTACGGTCCGGTCTGTTCCTGCTCCCCGCACCAAGTCTGTGGTGCGTTTCGTCAGCCCTGTCCGGCCCGTTCCTGCTCTCCGCACCAGGTCTGTGGTGCGCGTCGCCAGCCCGGTCCGGCCCGTTCCTGCTCCCCGCACCAAGTCTGTGGTGCGTTTCGTCAGCCCTGTCCGGCCCGTTCCTGCTCCCCGCACCAAGTCTGTGGTGCGTCTCGTCAGCCCGGCTCGGCCCGTTCCTGCTCCCCGCTCCAAGTCAGTGGTGCGCTTCGTCAGCCCGGCTCGGCCCATTCCTGCTCCCCGCACCAAGTCTGTGGTGCGTTTCGTCAGCCCGGCTCGGCCCATTCCTGCTCCCCGCACCAAGTCTGTGGTGCGTTTCGTCAGCCCTGTCCGGCCCGTTCCTGCTCTCCGCGCCGAGTCTGTGGTGCGCGTCGCCAGCCCGGTCCGGCCCGTTCCTGCTCCCCGCACCAAGTCTGTGGTGCGTTTCGTCAGCCCTGTCCGGCCCGCTCCTGCACCCCACACCAAGCCAGTGGTGTGCGTCGTCAGTCCAGCACGGCCCGTGCCTGTTCCCCACACCAAGCCAGTGGTGTGCGTCGTCGGTCCGGCACGGCCCGTGCCTGTTCCACTGGTGCCTGGTCCGGCACCGGTCAGATGCGTTACGCCGGAGCTAGAGCAATCCGCTCCATCAGTGTGCAGTCCAGCTCCGGCCAGCGGGGCCAGACCGGACCAGGGGTACTTTGGGGGGTTGGAGAGGGAGTGGGGATCAGGCCCGGAGCCGGATCCGCCGCCAAGGCGGAGTGCCCACCCGGTCCCTCCCCTGTGGTATTTAGTTGGCGCGGTCGGAGTCCGCGCCTTTGGGGGGGGGGGTACTGTCACGCCCTGGCTCTGGGGACGCTGTTATGTTGAGCCAGGGTGTGTATTCTATGTTTGTATTTCTATGTTGGCCTGAGTGACTCCCAATCAGAGGCAACGAGTGTCTGCTGGTTGTCTCTGATTGGGAGCCATATTTACTGTCTGTCTTTCACTTTGTGTTTGTGGTTTCTTGTTCGTGTTGGTTTGTGTTTAAACCATAGACGTCACGTTTTTTCGTTTGTTGTTTTGATCGTGTGATCATTAAATAAATATAATATGTTCACCTTCAACGCTGCGCATTGGTCTCTCCCTGACGATCGTGACAGTTGTATTATTGTATTACCTAATGTACTGCACAGGTAACATATTTCTGTTGTATTATTGTATTCCCTAATGTACTGCACAGGTAACATATTTCTGTTGTATTATTGTATTACCTAATGTACTGCACAGGTAACATATTTATGTTGTATTATTGTATTACCTAATGTACTGCACAGGTAACATATTTCTGTTGTATTATTGTATTCCCTAATGTACTGCACAGGTAACATATTTATGTTGTATTATTGTATTACCTAATGTACTGCACAGGTAACATATTTATGTTGTATTATTGTATTACCTAATGTACTGCACAGGTAACATATTTCTGTTGTATTATTGTATTACCTAATGTACTGCACAGGTAACCTATTTCTGTTGTATTATTGTATTCCCTAATGTACTGCACAGGTAACATATTTCTGTTGTATTATTGTATTCCCTAATGTACTGCACAGGTAACATATTTCTGTTGTTGTCACGCCCTGGCTCTGGGGACGCTGTTATGTTGAGCCAGGGTGTGTATTCTATGTTTGTATTTCTATGTTGGCCTGAGTGACTCCCAATCAGAGGCAACGAGTGTCTGCTGGTTGTCTCTGATTGGGAGCCATATTTACTGTCTGTCTTTCACTTTGTGTTTGTGGTTTCTTGTTCGTGTTGGTTTGTGTTTAAACCATAGACGTCACGTTTTTTCGTTTGTTGTTTTGATCGTGTGATCATTAAATAAATATAATATGTTCACCTTCAACGCTGCGCATTGGTCTCTCCCTGACGATCGTGACAGAAGAAACCACCAAAACTGGACCAAGCAGCGTGTCCAGGAGCCATTGCCTGGGGAATCGCTTGCAGATCTCCGTGGCAACCTCGACTGGGTCCAGCCTTGTAAAGAGCAGAGTGGATGGACTTGGGAACAGTGGAGGAAGAGTTTCGACTGGGTCAAGCCTAATGAAGAGCAGAATGGCTGGAGTTGGAGACAGAGGAGCGAGAGTTGGGCGAGAACGATAGAGGCCTGGCCCACGGGGAGGAGAGACCCCCAGAAATGTTTTAGGGGGGGGCTCACGACGTCGGGGCAGCAGGAGGCCGCGATAGAGCGGTCCAGCGGGTTGGCAGAGGAGGCCGCCAGGTTACGGGGGCCACTGGTCGAAGAGGGGATGGAAGGTGGAGAGGCACGGCGAGAGGTACTGGGGTGTGTTACCAGTCCGGTCCGGCCCGTTCCAGATCCCGGTGTAGGGCCAGTGGTGTGTGTCCCCAGTACGGTCCGGTCTGTTCCTGCTCCCCGCACCAAGTCTGTGGTGCGTTTCGTCAGCCCTGTCCGGCCCGTTCCTGCTCTCCGCACCAGGTCTGTGGTGCGCGTCGCCAGCCCGGTCCGGCCCGTTCCTGCTCCCCGCACCAAGTCTGTGGTGCGTTTCGTCAGCCCTGTCCGGCCCGTTCCTGCTCCCCGCACCAAGTCTGTGGTGCGTCTCGTCAGCCCGGCTCGGCCCGTTCCTGCTCCCCGCTCCAAGTCAGTGGTGCGCTTCGTCAGCCCGGCTCGGCCCATTCCTGCTCCCCGCACCAAGTCTGTGGTGCGTTTCGTCAGCCCGGCTCGGCCCATTCCTGCTCCCCGCACCAAGTCTGTGGTGCGTTTCGTCAGCCCTGTCCGGCCTGTTCCTGCTCTCCGCGCCGAGTCTGTGGTGCGTGTCGCCAGCCCGGTCCGGCCCGTTCCTGCTCCCCGCACCAAGTCTGTGGTGCGTTTCGTCAGCCCTGTCCGGCCCGCTCCTGCACCCCACACCAAGCCAGTGGTGTGCGTCGTCAGTCCAGCACGGCCCGTGCCTGTTCCCCACACCAAGCCAGTGGTGTGCGTCGTCGGTCCGGCACGGCCCGTGCCTGTTCCACTGGTGCCTGGTCCGGCACCGGTCAGATGCGTTACGCCGGAGCTAGAGCAATCCGCTCCATCAGTGTGCAGTCCAGCTCCGGCCAGCGGGGCCAGACCGGACCAGGGGTACTTTGGGGGGTTGGAGAGGGAGTGGGGATCAGGCCCGGAGCCGGATCCGCCGCCAAGGCGGAGTGCCCACCCGGTCCCTCCCCTGTGGTATTTAGTTGGCGCGGTCGGAGTCCGCGCCTTTGGGGGGGGGTACTGTCACGCCCTGGCTCTGGGGACGCTGTTATGTTGAGCCAGGGTGTGTATTCTATGTTTGTATTTCTATGTTGGCCTGAGTGACTCCCAATCAGAGGCAACGAGTGTCTGCTGGTTGTCTCTGATTGGGAGCCATATTTACTGTCTGTCTTTCACTTTGTGTTTGTGGTTTCTTGTTCGTGTTGGTTTGTGTTTAAACCATAGACGTCACGTTTTTTCGTTTGTTGTTTTGATCGTGTGATCATTAAATAAATATAATATGTTCACCTTCAACGCTGCGCATTGGTCTCTCCCTGACGATCGTTACAGTTGTATTATTGTATTACCTAATGTACTGCACAGGTAACATATTTCTGTTGTATTATTGTATTCCCTAATGTACTGCACAGGTAACATATTTCTGTTGTATTATTGTATTACCTAATGTACTGCACAGGTAACATATTTATGTTGTATTATTGTATTACCTAATGTACTGCACAGGTAACATATTTATGTTGTATTATTGTATTCCCTAATGTACTGCACAGGTAACATATTTATGTTGTATTATTGTATTACCTAATGTACTGCACAGGTAACATATTTATGTTGTATTATTGTATTACCTAATGTACTGCACAGGTAACATATTTCTGTTGTATTATTGTATTACCTAATGTACTGCACAGGTAACATATTTCTGTTGTATTATTGTATTCCCTAATGTACTGCACAGGTAACATATTTCTGTTGTATTATTGTATTCCCTAATGTACTGCACAGGTAACATATTTCTGTTGTATTATTGTATTCCCTAATGTACTGCACAGGTAACATATTTCTGTTGTATTATTGTATTACCTAATGTACTGCACAGGTAACATATTTCTGTTGTATTATTGTATTACCTAATGTACTGCACAGGTAACATATTTCTGTTGTATTATTGTATTCCCTAATGTACTGCACAGGTAACATATTTATGTTGTATTATTGTATTACCTAATGTACTGCACAGGTAACATATTTCTGTTGTATTATTGTATTACCTAATGTACTGCACATGTAACATATTTCTGTTGTATTATTGTATTACCTAATGTACTGCACAGGTAACATATTTCTGTTGTATTATTGTATTACCTAATGTACTGCACAGGTAACATATTTCTGTTGTATTATTGTATTCCCTAATGTACTGCACAGGTAACATATGTCTGTTGTATTATTGTATTACCTAATGTACTGCACAGGTAACATATTTCTGTTGTATTATTGTATTACCTAATGTACTGCACAGGTAACATATTTCTGTTGTATTATTGTATTCCCTAATGTACTGCACAGGTAACATATTTCTGTTGTATTATTGTATTCCCTAATGTACTGCACAGGTAACATATTTCTGTTGTATTATTGTATTCCCTAATGTACTGCACAGGTAACATATTTCTGTTGTATTATTGTATTCCCTAATGTACTGCACAGCTGGTCTCAGCAGCAGGAGATCTGTTGGAGCCTTGTCCCCTCTCTCTAAGGAGATTTCTGTGTCTTTGAGGTTGTTTTCTGCTCCGTCTAATGCAGGGAAGTCTCAGGCACCCGTGTTTGATGTCTTTGAAGCATTTATCAACACCGACAACATTCAGGTCTTCGCCAACGCAGCAACTGACTACATCATGTGCCTTATCAAGTTTGTCAAAGGTTTAGGTAAGTCAGGTAAATAAGATGATTACATGATTTTTCTCTGTGGGTGTGTAATACTATTGTTATGATCATCACATTTGTAGACGGAGACATTGAATGTTCATGTTATTTGTAAGATATAATGGAAATGATTACTGCCATCAAACACCGGTGCCTTGTTCCCAGGAGAAGTGGACTATAAGGAGATTGGGGACTGTGTCAATGCCACTGGCTACAGTTCTACAGAACTGTGCCTCCCTGCTCTGGACTACCTAAGGAAGTGCTCCCAGGTAGGAAAACCTGGCCCATGGGCCACCTTAGCTATTTCCAATGGGTGTCACACTAAAATGAGTCCTCTTATCAGACGGGCTTCCAGAAAGTCTATTAAAATTGATAAATAAAGGGTCACAACCCTTCTACAGGAAGACTTCTCCCATCTACTTATGATGATCCTGTAGCTCAGTTGGTAGAGCATGGCGCTTCCAACGCCAGGGTTGTGGGTTCGATTCCCACAGGGGGCCAGTATGAAAAATGTATGCACTCACTAAAAACTGTAAGTCGCTCTGGATAAGAGCGTCTGCTAAATGACTAAAATGTTAATGTAATGATGTTTTCTGCTGCAGCTGCTTGCCAAAATCTACAAGATGCCTTCTAAGCCAGTGTTCCTGGGAGCCCGGCTGGCCAGCCTGCCCATGAGGGCCCAGGAGAGGTCTGTCAGCAGTGAGGATGGCATGGACTGTGTCCTGGCTGAGTTTGACGATGACACAGGCCTGATCCAGGTGTGGATCCTGCTGCTGGAGCAGCTGACTGCAGCGGTATCTAACTGCCCCCGGCAGCACCAGCCACCCACCCTGGAACTGCTGTTTGAACTTCTCAGACAGCTCACCAACTTACCAGGTGAGAAGAGATACCATGACACCACAGGACAGGCCCAATTCAACACTATCCACTGAAGTTTGGTTTTACATGGTATGGGTGATTATCTTCTAAAAGTCACATAATCAAGATTAACGTAGCCTACATGAAAACCAACCGTCAGTTCTTTTTTTCACCTCCATAGGACCGGGCTTTGCCATATTCTCCGTGATCCAGCTTCTTCTTCCTGTAATGTCACTCTGGCTGCAGCGTAGCCATGGTGACCATGCGTACTGGGACATAGCCGCAGCCAACTTCAAGCACGCCATTGGGCTGTGCTGTGAGCTGGTGGTGGAGCACATTCAAAGCTTCATCCACTCAGGTACAGTGGCCTTGGAAAGACAATGGAAATGACCCGAGTGGTGGTCGAGCATAGTGTACACAGCTAGCAGAGATGGAAGTGTACACAGCTAGCAGAGATGGAAGTGTACACAGCTAGCAGAGATGGAAGTGTGCACAGCTAGCAGCATAGAAGGAAGTGTACACAGCTAGCAGCATAGAAGATAGTGTACACAAAGCTAGCAGCATAGAAGGAAGTGTGCACAGCTAGCAGCAGAGATGGAAGTGTGCACAGCTAGCAGCAGAGATGGAAGTGTGCACAGCTAGCAGCAGAGATGGAAGTGTGCACAGCTAGCAGCAGAGATGGAAGTGTGCACAGCTAGCAGCAGAGATGGAAGTGTGCACAGCTAGCAGCAGAGATGGAAGTGTGCACAGCTAGCAGCAGAGATGGAAGTGTACACAGCTAGCAGCAGAGACGGAAGTGTACACAGCTAGCAGCAGAGACGGAAGTGTACAAAAAGCTAGCAGCAGAGACGGAAGTGTACACAAAGCTAGCAGCAGAGACGGAAGTGTACACAAAGCTAGCAGCAGAGACGGAAGTGTACACAAAGCTAGCAGCAGAGACGGAAGTGTACACAGCTGTCAGCAGAGACGGAAGTGTACACAGCTGTCAGCAGAGACGGAAGTGTACACAGCTAGCAGCAGAGACGGAAGTGTACACAGCTGTCAGCAGAGACGGAAGTGTACACAGCTAGCAGCAGAGACGGAAGTGTACACAGCTAGCAGCAGAGACGGAAGTGTACACAGCTGTCAGCAGAGACGGAAGTGTACACAGCTGTCAGCAGAGACGGAAGTGTACACAGCTAGCAGCAGAGACGGAAGTGTACACAGCTAGCAGCAGAGACGGAAGTGTACACAGCTAGCAGCAGAGACGGAAGTGTACACAGCTAGCAGCAGAGATGGAAGTGTGCACAGCTAGCAGCAGAGCTGGAAGTGTACACAGCTAGCAGCAGAGATGGAAGTGTACACAGCTAGCAGCAGAGATGGAAGTGTGCACAGCTAGAGATGGAAGTGTGCACAGCTAGCAGCAGAGCTGGAAGTGTACACAGCTAGCAGCAGAGATGGACGTGTACACAGCTATCAGCAGAGATGGAAGTGTGCACAGCTATCAGCAGAGATGGAAGTGTGCACAGCTATCAGCAGAGATGGAAGTGTGCACAGCTATCAGCAGAAATGGAAGTGTGCACAGCTAGCAGCAGAGATGGAAGTGTACACAAAGCTATCAGCAGAGATGGAAGTGTACACAGCTATCAGCAGAAATGGAAGTGTGCACAGCTAGCAGCAGAGATGGAAGTGTACACAGCTATCAGCAGAAATGGAAGTGTACACAGCTATCAGCAGAAATGGAAGTGTGCACAAAGCTAGCAGCAGAAATGGAAGTGTGCACAAAGCTAGCAGCAGAGACGGAAGTGTACACAGCTAGCAGCAGAGACAGAAGTGTACACAGCTAGCAGCAGAGACGGAAGTGTACACAGCTAGCAGCAGAGACGGAAGTGTACACAGCTAGCAGCAGAGACGGAAGTGTACACAAAGCTAGCAGCAGAGATGGAAGTGTACACAGCTAGCAGCAGAGACGGAAGTGTACACAAAGCTAGCAGCAGAGACGGAAGTGTACACAGCTATCAGCAGAAATGGAAGTGTGCACAAAGCTAGCAGCAGAAATGGAAGTGTGCACAAAGCTAGCAGCAGAGACGGAAGTGTACACAGCTAGCAGCAGAGACGGAAGTGTACACAGCTAGCAGCAGAGACGGAAGTGTACACAGCTAGCAGCAGAGACGGAAGTGTACACAGCTAGCAGCAGAGACGGAAGTGTACACAGCTAGCAGCAGAGACGGAAGTGTACACAGCTAGCAGCAGAGACGGAAGTGTACACAACTAGCAGCAGAGATGGAAGTGTACAGATGGAAGTGTACACAGCTAGCAGCAGAGATGGAAGTGTACACAGCTAGCAGCAGAGATGGAAGTTAACTTGGACATTTAGACAGACAAAATAGGTGTTTGTGAAACAGATGTTCCCAGGGTCTCAGAGTAGGATTGCTGTTTTAGGATCAGTTTTAGGATCAGTTTTGCCTTTTAGATCACTTTTAAAATATATTACATGGGCAGGGAAAACCTGATCCTGACTCATATTATGAGATGCTTGATAAATCCCCCACTGGGCACAGACGTCAGTTGAACATCTAGTTTTTATTTACATTTGTGACTCAACACCTGGATTTGGTCTTATGTAGCAAAATTTGAAATTGTGTTTTTTACATTGGATAAAAGTAGAGACTCAGAGCTAGAAAATGGTATATCATACACTGCATTTGAGGAACAATGGGAAAGTAATTCTGCATTGAAAGTTGATAAACTTGTAAACTCACTTTTGAGAAAATGGCATTTGAATGTTTTGGTATCTAGTGAAGAGCTCTTCTTTGTCTACCCACATTCAGCATCATTCACATCCTCTTAAGCTTTAGCCTCACCCATCTCGTTTAGCTCCCGGAGCTTTCAGAACGCACACTTGACGCTCTGGCCAATGATTTGTTTACCTCCGGATAACATGAAAACAGCCTAACCAGCTCTGCTGGCAACAATTTTATTAAGCTTTTTTGCTGATGTTTACTGACACCGGCCATATTCAACGGGTGTTGTACACTTTAGCTTAAGACATGTAGCTAGCTAGCTAAACAATTAACCTAGCTAGGTAAACAACGTGTAAGATCACATACGTCACGTAACGTTAGATAACGAGCCAGCCAGCTAACGTTAGCTAGTTAAACAACAATGAACATGGTGTCAAATCATGTCGTTACTACCCTGCATGAATCTGCTGGGAGCTAACCAAACAGGTTCAATGTTAGCTAGCTAACATTAGGTTCTAACTAGAAAAGCAAACAGCTCTGGGATACGAATAATAACGTCATTCACGTAAAGTTAGCTAGTGAGCCAGCCAGCTAACGTTAGCTAGTTAGCTAATAGTACACTTTATCTTGAAATGAAACACTTTCTGTCAAAATTAGAAACGTGTAATATCTGAAAATGTAGCTAGCTAGACGATCTTACCCGTACATCATCATGCATGATGGATGCGTCTCCCTGTCACTGATGCCATGCCACGGTTGCCCTTCCTTAGTTTGAAGATGTAATCCGGAGACAGGTGTTTTCGCCATCTCTTTAGCTATCATACTCTAATTCCACTGATTTCAAAACTCGATCCTCCAGAAAGTGGTAAGCAACACTTACAGTGAGGGAAAAAAGTATTTGATCCCCTGCTGATTTTGTACGTTTGCCCACTGACAAAGACATGATCAATCTATAATTTTAATGGTAGGTTTATTTGAACAGTGAGAGACAGAATAACAACAACAAAATCCAGAAAAACGCATGTCAAAAATGTTAGAAATTGATTTGCATTTTAATGAGGGAAATAAGTATTTGACCCCTCTGCAAAACATGACTTAGTACTTGGTGGCAAAACCCTTGTTGGAAATCACAGAGGTCAGACGTTTCTTGTAGTTGGCCACCAGGTTTGCACACATCTCAGGAGGGATTTTGTCCCACTCCTATTTGCAGATCTTCTCCAAGTCATTAAGGTTTCGAGGCTGACGTTTGGCAACTCGAACCTTCAGCTACCTCCACAGATTGTCTATGGGATTAAGGTCTGGAGACTGGCTAGGCCACTCCAGGACCTTAATGTGCTTCTTCTTGAGTCATTCCTTTGTTGCTTTGGCCGTGTGTTTTGGGTCATTGTCATGCTGGAATACCCATCCACGACCCATTTTCAATGCCCTGGCTGAGGGAAGGAGGTTCTCACCCAAGATTTGACGGTACATGGCCCCGTCCATCGTCCCTTTGATGCGGTGAAGTTGTCCTGTCCCCTTAGCAGAAAAACACCCCCAAAGCATAATGTTTCCACCTCCATGTTTGACGGTGGGGATGGTATTCTTGGAGTCATAGGCAGCATTCCTCCTCCTCCAAACACAGCGTGTTGAGTTGATGCCAAAGAGCTCAATTTTGGTCTCATCTGACCACAACACTTTCACCCAGTTCTCCTCTGAATCATTCAGATGTTAATTGGCAAACTTCAGATGGCCCTATATATGTGCTTTCTTGAGCAGGGGGACCTTGCGGGCGCTGCAGGATTTCAGTCCTTCACAGCGTAGTGTGTTACCAATTGTTTTCTTGGTGACTATGGTCCCAGCTGCCTTGAGGTCATTGACAAGATCCTCCCGTGTAGTTCTGGGCTGATTCCTCACCGTTCTCATGATCATTGCAACTCCACGAGGTGAGATCTTGCATGGAGCCCCAGGCTGAGGGAGATTGACAGTTATTTTGTGTTTCTTCCATTTGCGAATAATCGCACCAACTGTTGTCACCTTCTCACCAAGCTGCTTGGCGATGGTCTCACTGTAATGTCTGCACCTGTTGTATTCGGCGCATGTGACCAATAAAATTTGATTTGATTTTATTTGATTTCTAGCCCATTCCAGCCTTGTGTAGGTCTACAATCTTGTCCCTGACATCCTTGGAAATCTCTATGGTCTTGGCCATGGTGGAGAGTTTGGAATCTGATTGATTGATTGCTTCTGTGGACAGGTGTCTTTTATACAGGTAACAAACTGAGATTAGGAGCACTCCCTTTAAGAGTGTGCTCCTAATCTCAGCTCGTTACCTGTATAAAAGAGACCTGGGAGCCAGAAATCTTTCTGATTGAGAGGGGGTCAAATATTTATTTCCCTCATTAAAATGCAAATCAATTTATAACAATTTTTACATGCGTCTTTCTGGATTTTTTTGTTGTTATTCTGTCTCTCACTGTTCAAATAAACCTACCATTAAAATTATAGACTGATCATTTCTTTGTCAGTGGGCAAACGTACAAAATCAGCAGGGGATCAAATACTTTTTTCCCTCACTGTATGCAGCTCCACTACACAATATTTTTTTTTTTTTTAAGCCGCGTTTGACAGGATTACCAACACAGACTGACAGAAGACTTTTATATGGCAGACCAATCTGAACTCCTCTTTTGGCATGTCCAGTCCACTCATTATCTCAGCCAATCATGGCTAGTGGGAAGGTTGCTGTCTTTTTCTGTGGCTTAACCAACAAGGCTCGTAATTTAACAATTCTATTCGTATTTACAGATGGCATACAAGTGTGTTATTAAGGCACATGAAAGTTTACATGTTCCAGAAGGCATTTCTGCCAAAAAACACATTTTGATAAATTAATTAAAAAACGTTTAAATGGCTCTCTATCGAAGTCGTGACTTGCGACATACGCCTAGTTTCCTGAAACTGGTCACATTTGGTTGAGTTGTCAACTAATGTGAATACAATGTGAAATCAAAAATATTCACCGTAACATTGGATTTAGGTTAAAAGTTGGGTGAAAAAATGAAATTCCCTTACACACACACAATCCAAATCAGTTTACCACGTTGATTCAATATCACATTTAATTTTGTTGTTGAAATGACATGGAAACAACGTTGATTCAACCAGTTTTTGACAAGTGGGACGGCCCCAGATCCTGGTTGTGCCTCTGTCCATATCCTTCATATCTCTGTGCTCCTGTAGATATTGGCTATGAGAATCTGATCAACCTGATGCTGAAGGACCTCTTCAAGCTGCTGGTGGCCTGTGTGGCTGAACCTGCTGAGACCATCTCTAGAGTGGGCTGCTCCTGTATCAGGTGGCCACACACACACACACACACAGAGAGAGAGAGAGACACACATAATGTGTATGACTGAGCTTTAGGTGACAGGTGTTTGTCTCTTCCTGTGGCAGGTACGTGTTGGTGACAGTAGGCCCTGTCTTCACTGAGGAGATGTGGCATCTGGCCTGCTGTGCCCTGCAGGATGCCTTCTCTGCCACGCTGGAGCCTGTGAAGGTAAAGGCCTTATATTGTTATATTATCTATATATATTTAACCCTAACCCTGGAGCCTGTCAAGGTAAAGGACTTATATTGTTATATTATCATATTATATATACAGTGCATTCGGAAAGTATTCAGACCCCTTCCCCTTTTCCATATTTTGTTATGTTACAGCCTTATTCTAAAATGGATTACAGTTTTTAAAAAATCTCAATCTACACACAATACCCTATAATGACAAAGCAAAAATAGGTTTGTAGAAATGTTTGCAAATGTATTTAAAAAACAAACAGATTTACCTTATTTACATAAGTATTCAGACCCTTTTCTATGAGACTTGAAATTGAGCTCAGGTGCATCCTGTTTCCATTGATTATCCTTGAGATGTCTCTACAACTTGATTGGAGTCGACCTGTGGTAAATTCAATTGATTGGACATGATTTGGAAAGGCACACACCTGTCTATATAAGGTCCCACAGTTGACAGTGCATGTCAGAGCAAAAACCAAGCCATGAGGTCGAAGGAATCCTCCGTAGAGTTCCGAAACAGGATTGTGTCAAGGCACAGATCTGGGGAAGGGTACCAAAAAATGTCTGCAGCATTGAAGGTCCCCAAGAACACAGTGGCCTCCATCATTGTTTAATGGAAGAAGTTTGGAACCACCAAGACTCTTCCTAGAGCTGGCCGCCCGGCCAAACTGAGCAATTGGGGGAGAAGGGCCTTGGTCAGGGAGGTGACCAAGAACCCGGGAGGTGACCAAGAACCCGATGGTCACTCTGACAGAGCTCCAGAGTTCCTCTGTGGAGATGGGAGAACCTTCCAGAAGGACAACAATCTCTGCAGCACTCCACCATCCGGCCTCTATACAGTGGATTGCGAAAGTATTCACCCCACTTGGCATTTTTCCTATTTTGTTGCCTTAGAACCTTAGAAGAACCTTAGAATAATGTATTTTTTGGGGGTTTGAATCATTTGATTTACACAACATGCCTACCACTTTGAAGATGCAAAATATGTTTTATTGTGAAACAAACTGGAACCTTGAGCGTGCATAACTATTACAGCTGCAAGGCTCTTGGGGTATGTCTCTATAAGCTTATTATTTTTTTCTTTAAGCAATGGCTTTTTTCTGGCCACTCTTCCATAAAGCCCAGCTCTGTGGACTGTACGGCTTAAAGTGGTCCTATGTACAGATACTCCAATCTCCGTTGTGGAGCTTTGCAGCTCCTTCAGGGTTATCTTTGGTCTCTTTGTTGCCTCTCTGATGAATGCCCTCATTGCCTGGTCCTTGAGTTTTGGTGGGCGGCCCTCTCTTGGCAGATTTGTTGAGGTGCCATATTCTTTCCATTCTTTAATAATGGATTTAATGGTGCTCCGTGGGATGTTCAAAGTATCAGATATTGTTTATAACCCAACCCTGATCTGTACTTCTGCACAACTTTGTCCCTGACCTGTTTGGAGAGCTCATTGCTCTTCATGGTGCCGCTTGCTTGGTGATGCCCCTTGCTTAGTGGTGTTGCAGACTCTGGGGCCTTTCAGAACAGGTGTGTATATACTGAGATAATGTGACAGATCATGTGACACTTAGATTGCACACAGGTGGACTTTATTTAACTAATTATGTGACTTCTGAAGGTAATTGGTTGCACCAGATCTTATTTAGGGGCTTCATAGCGAAGGGGGTGAATAAATATGCATGCACCACTTTTTGGTTATTTATATTTTAGAATTTGTTGAAACAAGTTATTTTTTTCATTTCACTTCACCAATTTTGACTATTTTGTGTATGTACATTACATGAAATTCAAATAAAAATCAATTTAAATTCCAGGTTGTAATGCAACAAAATAGGAAAAACACCAAAGGAATGAATACTTTTGCAAGGCACTGTAGTAGAGTGGCAAGACGGAAGCCAATCCTCAGTAAAAGGCACATGACAGCTCGCTTGGAGTTTGCCAAAAGGCACAGAGAGATCCTTGATGAAAACCTGCTCCAGAGCGCTCAAGACCTCAGACTTGGGCAAAGGTTCACCTTAAAGTAGTTCCCCTATGGCATCGCGCTCAAGAACCTTATCTGGTTCCAACTTGCACATTTATTTTTAAGAGTGTAGTAAAAGTAAATGTCCACTTACTATACATTTTGATTCTTAGTTACAGTACTGTATAATATAATAATAATAATAATAATAATAATATGCCATTTAGCAGACGCTTTTATCCAAAGCGACTTACAGTCATGCCTGCATACATATTTTTTTGTGTATGGGTGGTCCCGGGGATCGAACCCACTACCTTGGCGTTACAAGCGCCGTGCTCTACCAGCTGAGCTACAGAGAACCACGTTGGGATTATGTTGGGATTACTGTCATTCATTACTTTCTTTTTAGATTCTTCTTCTTATTTTTTTCTTCTCTTTTTAATAATGCAGATAGATTGTAACTTCCATCAATGTAATTGTCTGCATCACTTCCAAAAGCTATATCTCAGACTGGCCAATAAAAAGAAAATTTTAAGATGGGCAGTCTGAGATATGGCTTTTTCTTTGCAACTCTGCCTAGAAGGCCAGCATCCCGGAGTCGCCTCTTCACTGTTGATGTTGAGACTGGTGTTTTGCGGGTACTATTTAATGAAGCTGCCAGTTGAGGACCTGTGAGGCGCCTGTTTCTCAAACTAGACACTCTAATGTATTTGACCTCTTGCTCAGTTGTGCACCAGGGCCTCCCACTCCTCTTTCTATTCTGGTTAGAGCCAGTTTGCGCTGTTCTGTGAAGGGAGTAGTACACAGCGTTGTACGAGATCTTCAGTTTCTTGGCAATTTCTCACATAGAATAGCCTTCATTTCTCAGAGCAAGAATAGACTGATGAGTTTCAGAAGAAAGTTATTTGTTTCTGGCCATTTTGAGCCTGTAATCGAACCCACACTTGCTGATGCTTCAGATACTCAACTAGTCTCAAGAAGGCCATGTTTTATTGCTTCTTTAATCAGCACAACAGTTTTCAGCTGTGCTAACATAATTGCAAAAGGGTTTTCTAATGATCATTAGCCTTTTTAAAATGATAAACTTGGATTAGCAAACACAACGTGCCATTGGAACACAGGACTGATGGTTGCTGATAATGGGCCTCTGTACGCCTATGTAGATATTCCATAAAAAATCAGCCATTTCCACCTACAATAGCCATTTACAACATTAACAATGTCTACACTGTATTTCTGATCAATTTGATGTTATTTAAATGGTTTAAAAAAATGGCTTTTCTTTCGAAAACAAGGACATTTCTAAGTGACCCCAAACTTTTGAACGGTATTGTGTATATATACATATACATCCATACAAATATACAGTTGAAGTCGGAAGTTTACATACACCTTAGCCAAATACATTTAAACTCAGTTTTTCACAATTCCTGACATTTAATCCTGGTAAAAATTCCCTGCTGTTTTAGGTCAGTTAGGATCACCACTTTATTTTAAGAATGTGAAATGTCAGAATAATAGTAGAGAGAATGATTTATTTCAGCTTTTATTTCTTTCATCACATTCCCAGTGGGTCAGAAGTTTACATACACTCAATTAGTATTTGGTAGCATTGCCTTTAAATTGTTTAACTTGGGTCAAACGTGTTGGGTAGCCTTCCAAAAGCTTCCCACAATAAATTGGGTGAATTTTGGCCCATTCCTCCTGACAGAGCTGGTGTAACTGAGTCAGGTTTGCAGGCCTCCTTGCTCGCACACGTTTTCTATAGGATTGAGGTCAGGGCTTTGTGATGGCCACTCCAAAATAAGGCTGAACGATTTTGGAAAATAATCTAATTGCGATTTTTTGCCCCCAATATTGCGATTGCGATTTAATATGCGATTTAATTTATTTATCCTTTTTCCCCTACAAAACATAATGAATGATTTAAATATGACCAACACAATAGTATATACATTTAGTGTGAAATGTTCTTTCCCATAGGCTGGGTCTATTTGTTAGAATTAAATTCAAACATGTATGACTTGAAATAAATGACATTTTTATTGAACTGCTCATTACAGAAACATCTGTGGCTTTGCCACTGTGCATTTAAATAATTTAAACAAAGGCATGAACTTTGTAAACACTGTGTGCAAAAGGTACAGTCTTAAGAAAAAAATAATTTTAAATTGTATGTATCTTACTGCTCCCAAGTCAGTAACATTTCACACAACTGAAACAAGGAATTTGCTTTGAAAATATTTTGTAAAATCAAAGTAAATAAAGTTATAAATAAAAAATGAGAAATGCACTTTTAATTTAGACAAACTATTTTTTATAAACGATTTGAATATTATAATATAAAATAGATGAGCCTCACTTATCTCAAGTACACAACAATAACACACCACACAGACTAAAGTTCACTACGAGTATGGCACTGCCAGCCATACTTATCCAACAGTTCTGTTCTCAGTGGCTCACAGGTTTTTTGCTAAGAAAACCAGAATATTGACTTTTTCTGGCTTCAAGGCTGAGCGAGTGCAAGTCACAATATTCCCTCCTGTGCTAAAAAGACGCTCTGAGGGAGCGCTTGTAGCAGGTACACAAAGATACTTGCGTGCCATGGTGCACAACTGTGGGTAGCTGATCTTGTGCACCCTCCACCAAGCCAATGGATCATCTTCTCCATCAATGGTAGGAGTCATCAGGTAATTGTTTATCTCTGCCTCTGCGACATCTTCAAGATTTACAGGCAAAGAAGGAGAGGCTGAACTGGTCTTGAAAAAACTGCCAAGAGACCTCTTCGTCTTTTCCCCCAAGGACTGTGCACTTTGAGGCATCTGAACAGTTTCAGTACGAGACCTCTTCTCCTATTAGATGAAAACAACAGCCATTAGTTTTCCAGTTAGATTTTACAGAAAATTTTTGTTTTTGTGAAATACATAATTATTTACCCAATGATATGTACGTTGTGCCAAGTCTACTATCTCTGTCTTCAGACGAGTCTTGATAGCAGGGATGTTGTCTGTACTGATGTACTGTATTTTGAACCTAGGGTCCAGGAAACAGGCAACATCCAAAAGCTCCTGGATGTTTGGGTCTCCATATTTGTTATTGAGGTATGCTAGGACTTTGGTTTTTATTGATTTAGTCAGGTCAGTGTCCTCAGCATCTTCAGCCAGGACTGATGTGGCAAAAAGGTGGAGAACTGGCTTGAGGTAGGAGATGCTTACATACTCCTCTCCAGAAAGAGCATCAGTAAACTCCAGTAGAGGATGCAGTGCCTTGTGAATCGACTCCAACACGTCAATATCCTGCCAGGTTGGGATAAGGGAGCGTGCATATCGATCTCCAGACAATACCTGAGAAATGGCTTTGGCCTGTTCAAGCACTCTGGCAATCATCATTTCTTTAGAACCCCATCTTGTTGGGCACTCCGTTATGAGGTTGTGCTCAGGGAGTTTGAGCTCTCTCTGTGCCTCCGTCAGGGCTGCTTTCTTCTTCCAACTGTGGGAAAAGTGCCCCACCAGCTTCCTGCACAGTGCTGTTGCCCTTGACACTCTGTCATCTTTGAGTGCATTTTCTAAAAGAAATAAAAAGTAGTGTATTACACACAATTTGAGTTTTGATACAAGGCTCTCACTATTACACACTCAAATTAGCTGTAATTCTGAAATACACACATCCACAACACATCCTCTCTCTCTCTCTCAATTCAAAGGGTCTTTATTTGCATGTCAATTCTCTCTCTCTTTCTCTCTCTCTCTCTCTCATAAACACTAAAAAAACATGTAAAAAACAAAAACAAGAAAAGAAAAGAAATGCAGGTGGGCATTCCACCACAGACAGACATATGATATAAGCAAGTAAAATGAATTTACATATTAGAAAAGGAGTGGAAGTATGAATTTATTTAATCCCATCCGATTTATATAATATCATTTATATATATTTGTATATTCAGCTTTACTAATCGACGCATCTCTCTCTCTCGCACTCGCGCACACACACACACACACACACACACACAAACACACACACACACACACACACACACACACACACACACACACACACACACACACACACACACACACGATAACTTACCAATGGCAAGATGTAATCTGTGGCCAAAACATTGGAGCCTCGTCCATTCATTAAGCCGCGCAGCAAGCACCATATTCGACGCGTTGTCCGTCGTGATGCAGACGTGATTCTCCTCGTGGAGATCCCAGCTGACAAGCCCTTCTCTCAGGCCGGCTGCAATATTTTCCCCTGTGTGATCGTCTGGGAAGTAGGTAGTTTGTAGGCAGCGAGCTCGGAGGTTGAAATCTTCATCAATAAAATGGACTGTAAGACTCTGGTACGGCTCAGCTGTGCGGCTTGACCACATATCAGTAGTGCTAGCAAAAAACTCCACCGTTTTAAGTTCCGCGGCGACTTTCTCTTTGCACTTTTTGTACAGCTCCGGTATGGCAGTCTGACTGAAGTATGTGCGGGAGGGTATACTGTAACGTTTATCAAGCGTATGTATTAATGCCATGAACCCAGGCTTGGTCACCGTGCTGAGAGGCATCATATCTTTGGCTATGAACTCGGTTATTGTCCGAGTGATTTCTCCGTGCCGTTTTGAATTACGTTCATACGGAGTGACACTTTCGAACATTTCTGTCAGTGATCCCTGTCTTGAGGTATTTGGCTTGTCTCGCGCACTGATGCTCGGCATTTTGGTCATACAACTGTCATGCATTGATTTGTGGTATTTTTTTAAGTGCTGAAACAGGTTTGTAGTGTTACCCCGTGAAGTAGCAATCGGAGCACGGCATGCTCTGCACAACACCTGACGCTGCTCAGCATCTTCTTTTTTAAAACCAAAATAGTTCCACACCACCGACGTGCTGTTCCTCTTCGATATTAAAGTATCAGCTGTGTCAGTTTCTGACTGTTCCGTCGAGCAAGAGGCCATTGCGCTGGACAGCATGAAAAGTCGCGTCACGTGACCACCTCAAATCGCGCACGTTGCGATTAGAAAATCGCGTTCAGTCAAATCGCGATATTATCGCGAATGCAATTAATCGTTCAGCCCTACTCCAAAACCTTGACTTTGTTGTCCTTAAGCCATTTTGCCACAACTTTGGAAGTATGCTTGGGGTCATTGTCCATTTGGAAGACCCATTTGCGACCAAGCTTTAACTTCCTGACTGATGTCTTAAGATGTTGCTTCAATATATCCACATAATTTTCCTTCCTCATGATGCCATCTATTTTGTGAATTGCACCAGTCCCTCCTGCAGCAAAGCACCCCCACAGCATGATGCTGCCACCCCCGTGCTTCACGGTTGGGATGGTGTTCTTCGGTTGCAAGCCGCCCCCTTTTTCCTCCAAACATAACGATGGACATTATGGCCAAACAGTTCTATTTTTGTTTAATCAGACCAGAGGACATTTCTTCAAAAAGTACAATATTTGTCCCCATGTGCAGTTGCAAACCGTAGTCTGGCTTTTTTATGGAGGTTTTGGAGCAGTGGCTTCTTCCTTGCTGAGCGGCCTTTCAGGTTATGTCGATATAGGACTCGTTTTACTGTGGATATAGATACCTTTGTACCTGTTTCCTCCAGCATCTTCACAAGTTCCTTTGCTGCTGTTCTGAGATTGATTTGCACTTTTCGCACCAAAGTACGTTCATCTCTAGGAGACAGAACGCGTCTCCTTCCTGAGCGGTATGACGGCTGCGTGGTCCCATGGTGTTTATACTTGCGTACTATTGTTTGTACAGATGAATGTGGTACCTTCAGGCGTTTGGAAATTGCTCCCAAGGATGAACCAGACTTGTGGAGGTCTACAATTTTTTTTCTGAGGTCTTGGCTGATTTCTTTTGATTTACCCATGATGTCAAGCAAAGAGGCACTGAGTTTGAAGGTAGGCCTTGAAATACATCCACAGGTACACCTCCAATTGACTCAAATGATGTCAATTAGCCTATCAGAAGCTTCTAAAGCCATGACATAATTTTCTGGAATTTTCCAAGCTGTTTAAAGGCACAGTCAATTTAGTGTATGTAGACTTCTGACCCACTGGAATTGTGATACAGTGAATTATAAGTGAAATAATCTGTCTGTAAACAACTGTTGGAAAAATTACTTGTATCATGCACAAAGTAGATGTCCTAAACGACTTGCCAAAACTATAGTTTGTTAACAAGACATTTGTGGAGTGGTTGAAAAACGAGTTTTAATGACTCCAACCTAAGTGTATGTAAACTTCCGACTTCAACTGTATAAATACATATACATACATATATATATATACCCTTAAAAAAAATTGTTTCCTTTATTACTTTCTAACCCTACCACCCCTCCCCTCATTTGAGTAAACTAGTGAACAACAACGCTTAGGCCTCTACTTCCAGCTTATACATGCTATATACATTTTATGGACACAGTCAATCTTACAATAGTTCTATTTTGTTTGTTTATACTCCTGAACTTCCTCTACCCTCAACCTCTCCAATCATTTTCATGATGTCCATCCGGTTTGCTTCGATATGCCATATATTTAAAACTGTGCTCTTTCACAAGAGTTCTTAACCTATAACCTATATACGTATTATTGACACAGTATGTTTTACATTAGTTATCTTGTTGTTATTTGTTGTTATTAGTCCCAACCTTCAGCTCCATTCAACCCCTCCTATCTATCTCTTAACACCATCCATATTGGATTTCTATTTGCCATATGTTTTTCAACTGTGCTGAGATGTTTCACAAAAGTTCTGAACCTTTCTATTCTCATTGTTTCTACAGATTGGAAATTGACAAATATTTTTGTTGTTGCTAAAAGTATTATTATATTATTATATTATTTTTAGATTTTTAGATTCTTAGTTACAGTACTGTATGTTGGGATTACTGTCATTCAGTACTTTATTATTAGATAAATAGAATCCTAGGTGTATGTGTACTTTTACTGTCTCAGCTGTACATGACTGGGACCACTGTATGAAGTTCCATGTGTCTGATGGGGATGGTTCCGTCAGTGTGCTGTGTGTTCTAGATCCTGTTGACTGGATCACATTGGATGGAACCTCGTGCACCAGACTGTACAGCTTCAGCATACATGTCAGAGTACTAGACTACATTGTTGTATTGTGTGTCTGTGTCGCTGTGTAGAATCTGCTGGCGTGTTTCCGTAGTGGTTCAGACAGCTCCTCTGGGGATGCCTGTGAGGTTAAGGTGGCCGCGCCGTCCCACTCCCCCTCTGCTGAGGCAGAGTACTGGAGAATCAGAGCCATGGCCCAGCAGGTGACCCTCCTCCACCACACACTACTGTACATGCAACACTACTGTACATGCAGCACTACCGTACATGCAACTACTGTACATGTAACACTACTGTACATGCAGCACTACTGTACATGCAGCACTACCGTACATGCAACACTACTGTACATGCAACACTACTGTACATGCAGCACTACTGTACATGCAACACTACTGTACATGCAACACTACTGTACATGCAACACTACCGTACATGCAACACTACCGTACATGCAACACTACCATACATGCAGCATTACCGTACATTTAACACTACTGTACATGAAACACTACCGTACATACAGCACTACTGTACATGCAACACTACTGTACATGCAACACTACTGTACATGCAGCACTACCGTACATGCAACACTACCGTACATGCAACACTACCGTACATGCAGCACTACTGTACATGTAACACTACTGTACATGAAACACTACCGTACATACAGCACTACTGTACATGCAACACTACTGTACATGCAACACTACCGTACATGCAGCACTACTGTACATGCAACACTACCGTACATACAACACTACTGTACATGCAGCACTACCGTACATGCAGCACTACTGTACATGCAACACTACTGTACATGCAACACTACTCTATATACATGTGATGGAACTTACACACTAGGAGCTAGATTCAGTCGCCCCTTTTCAGCTATGCACTATTTAAAGGCAATGTTTCCTTGTTTGCAGAGACTGCATATGTCGGCTCAATCGGAAATGACCTTTAAATGTGAATTGCGGTATTACGCAGATCTTCCGTGGTCCAGATTTAATCTAGGCCTAGGCAGCTGCATTCACACAGGCAGCCCTATTCTGATATTTTTTCCACTAATTGGTCTTTTGACCAATCACGTCAGATCTTTTTCAGATCTGATTGGTCAAAAAAAACATTAGTGAAAAAAAGATCAGAATTGGGCTGCCTGTTTAAACGCAGCCGGCTACATGCATGTTGATGTGACATATGTACATGTGTGGCAGTCTACAATCAGACCTGGGTCAAATACATACTATTCATCAATCTAGCTGTTATAATAGCTGTTATTAGACAAAATTTCAAATCTCTTGTATTATATCTCAAATCTTCTGGATGTTGTTCAGTATGACTATATAGCGGTTGAACATGAATTCCTCCTGTCTCCTAACTTCCTTCTGTCTTTAGGTGTTTATGCTGGACACCCAGTGCTCCCCTAAAACCCCCAACAGCAAGGAAGGCTTTGAGCATGCCCAGTCCTGTGTGCTCATCATAGAGCTCCCGTCAGACCAGCAATCCAATGGTCATACTCAGAAAAGGTTGGCAACTTTTAAATACATAGCTAGTCTGGTGGCTTGAGTCAGTGGGACAGTTGTACTAAACGTTTGCACCAGGTACAAGCACTGCAAAAACATATTAAATCTGTCCCTGTGTGTAAAGTTTATATACTGTGTGTTCAACCTGTCATGTACAGTACATCGTCAACTTTAAATTGTTGCTCTATTCTAATCTATTCACACTGTGTGTTACAGTTCATGTCTGGGTTCACAGCCTTTACTCATACTGTTCAGAATGTCGATTATGATGTGTAGTATATTCAGACTCATTCCCTCCTTACATGCCTCTGATCTCTTTCTTGTGCTGGACTTGCTGCAGAAAAATTGGGTAAGAGCACTTTGATGACATCCATGCCATGATTCTGGTTTACTGTGAGCAGCATTCACCCACCTGTCTTAGTTCATTACCTGATGTTTTTAAAGATCATCTATTCAATGTCATGTACCGTAAACATAATTATATTCTGTCAACATATTTTATCAGATGGCATAAGCTACTGTACAGATGATGAAGACTTCAGCTGGGGAAATGTATGTCTTATATTAAAAGCAGACTGTTATAAAACGTTAGTTAAGTCATGTGTACTTGCATGTGTGAAGTCAAGAAGTCCAGCAACCTGCTCGCTTAAATACCATTTCTCATATTCTCCCAATAAGGAAAATGTATTGCTCAAATCCCGTTACGTGTTTCTGACAATCAGAACTACTGCATCAGTAATATAGGCATCTGTTTTCATCAATGGCTTTAATAACCCTTTTCTCCATCTGACCACAGGATTCCTTTCAGAACTATAGTGGTTAGCTTACTTTCCCACCAAGTGCTGCTCCAGAACCTGTATGACATCCTGCTGGAGGAGTTTGTGAAGCACCCTGGTGATGCTGAGGCCCAGGAGAAGACCACCCCAGTATCTGATCCTAGACCAGCTGGTTTCCTGCGCTACATCTCCATGCAGAACCTGGCCATCATCTTCGACCTGCTGCTGGACTCCTACCGCACGGCCCAGGACTTCGACACGCGCCCGGGCCTCAAGTACCTGCTGATGAAGGTGTCTGGGGTGTGTGGCGCTGCCAACCTGTACCGCCAGTCTGCCATGAGCTTCAACATCTACTTCCAGGCCCTGCTGTGTGCCACGCTCACCAACCAGGAGAGCATCACGGCTGAGCTGGTGAAGAAGATCCTGTACGAGGAGGACGAGGGCAGCTCTGACTCCTCCCAGCAGTGCTCTTCCGAGGATGAGGACATCTTTGAGGAGACGGCCCAGGTGAGCCCCCCGCAGGGGAATGAGAAGCGTAAGTGGAGGGCCACCGTCCCCTCACTCAGCATCCAGCCAGTCAGCAGCGCAGACTGGGCCTGGCTGGTCAAGCGGCTGCACAAGCTCTGCATGGACCTCTGCAATAGCTACATCCAGATGCACCTGGATCAGGAGAACGTGGTGGACGAGGCAGTGCCTGTCCTCCGGGGGGACCCCCTCTTCTTCCTGCCCATCTTCCCCTCCACCCCCGAGACTCCCACGGCCTCAACGGGAGGCCTTTCCGGCCGTGGAACACCCTCAGACGACGGTGTGCGCTCCCAGCTAGCGGAGACGCCGTCGGAGGACACCCACAGCCCTACTGCTGGCTACTGCATGGACAGCCTGCCACACCTCAGAGGGGAGAGGAGATACCCAGCGGGCCGCAAGAAGGAGTGGTGGGAGAGTGCTGGGAACAAGCTATACACCATCGCCACCGACAAGACCATCACCAAGCTGATGATCGAGTACAAGAAGAGGAAGCAGCAGCAGCATACCACCTTCGTGAAGGAGACCAAGGGGGGAGAGAAGACGGGTGAGGCAGGGACCATGAGGGGCCCAGAGTCGTCCGTCCCACAGAGGCCCCAGCAGCTGGTGGACCCGGGGCCCATGAGACACTCGTTCAGTGCTGGGCCAGAGGTGCTGAGGCAGGAAAATATCAGATCCCGCTCCGGTTCTACAGCCAGCTCCCATAACGTCTCCATCAGAGACTCAGAGGCTCAGATACAGGTAGGACCACATGCTGGAGAAACATCACTCAGTCTATGGTCAATTGGGTGATAACAGAAAGTACATTTTTGTTTTTGATTTATCCAGTTTTCTTTTGATTATTGAATAAACGCATGTTGCACTCAAATGTAAGAGTAATTATCTTTCTCTCTTTCTCTCCCTCGCTCTCTCTCTCTAGGCATGGACCAACATGGTTCTGACCATTTTGACTCAGATCCAGCTCCTCCCAGACCCTACCTTCGTGGCCCTGCAGCCCGCCATGTTCCCCTGCATTAGTCAGCTGACCTGTCACGTGACTGACCTCCGTGTGCGCCAGGCGGTGCGAGAGTGGCTGAGTCGCGTAGGGAGAATGTATGCCATCACTATGTGAAGGGCACCTGCCTGCCTTAGATGAGATGGCACTGTTTTTATTGTAGAGACCCAGGCTCAGCCAATGAGAATCTGCGTTGCCGCTTTCAGCCGCATTCAGTTTGATTGTAATTTACAGGAAGTCGTTCAGTTTGATTGTAATATATAGGAAGTCATTCAGTTTGATTGTAATTTACAGGAAGTCATTCAGTTTGATTGTAATTTACAGTGTCACACTTTGCTAGGTTTTGCTTTAACGCTGTCACTCATGAATGAAATGGAAGTTAGCTTTTAACTTTCTGCCCAAAATTGTATTGTCATGTATTTAAATTTGCTGACGTACAGTGCCTTCAGAAAGTATTCATACCCCTTGACAGCCTGAATTCTAAATTGATAAAATATATATTTTTCTCACCCATCTGACGAAGTGAAAACATGTTTTTAGAAATGTTTGCAAATGTATTGAAAAATAAATACAGAAATATCTAATTTACATAAGTATTAACGACACTCAGGAGCATTCAATGTTGTCTTGGTAAGCAACTCCAGTGTAGATGTGTCCTGTTTTAGGTTATTGTCCTGCTGAAAGGTGAATTTAAAATCAAATCAAATCAAATTGTATTTGTCACATGCGCCGAATACAACAGTGAAATGCTTACTTACAAGCCCTTAACCAACAATGCAGTTTAAAGAAAAATAAGTGTTAAGTAAACAATAGATAAGGAAAAAATGTGCTTAGCTGTTTATTTTTATCCTAAAAAAAACTCCCTAGTCCTTGCTGATGACAAGCAGACCCATAACATGATGCAGCCACCACCATGCTTGAAAATATGAAGAGTGGTACTCAGTGATGTGTTGTGTTGGATTTTCAGGACATAAAGTTTGTTTCTTTGCCACAGTTTTACTTTAGTGCCTTACTGCAAACAGGATGTATGTTTGGAAATATTTGTATTCTGTACAGGCTTCCTTCTTTTCACTGTCATTTAGGTTAGTATTGTGGAGTAACTACAATGTTGGACGCCTGTATCTTTGTAGTGATTGGGTGTATTGATGCACCATCCAAAGTGTAATTAATAACTTCACCATGCTCAAAGGAATATTCAATATCTGCTCTTTTTATTTTTACCAATCTACCAATTGGTGCCCTTCTTTGTGATTGAATCTGTGTTTGAAATTCACTGCTCGACTGAGGGACCTTACAATTATCTGTATGTGTGGGGTATAGAGATGAGGTAGTCATTCAATAATCATGTTAAACACACTTATTGCACACAGAGTGAGTCCATGCAACTTATTATGTGCCTTGTTAAGCACATTTTTACTCCTGAACGTATTTAGGCTTGCCATATCAGGACATTTTAGCTTTTTATTTTTAATGAATTTGTTAAAATGTCTAAAACATAAGTCCACTTTGACATTATGGGGTATTGTGTGTAGGCCAGTGACACAATCTCAATTGAATCCATTTTAAATTCAGGCTGTAACACAACACAATGTGGAAAAAGTCAAGGGGTGTGAATACTTTCTGAAGGCTCTGTAGCTGTTTATTTTCACCCCAATGATTTATATTAACGCACATATTATTATTTATTATTATTATCATCAATGCTCTACAACTGCAAATATGCTAAACACATTAAGAGTATATAGTTTTAGATGTATGTTTGTTCTTTGACTGGATTAACTGTGTCATATGAAATTATTAGTTACAGTTAGCTTTACACATTTCAGTGGTAAATTGGTATACTGCACTTTTCATCTGACAAGATTCTGCTCTATAAATGAAGTGCCCCAGTCCCCTCTAGGTAAACAGACCACCATCATGCAGTGATGTTGTGGTAGAAAAATAGGTGGGTAAACTCTGATCACCGGTCTTGGTGAAAAAAAGTAACACTCCCTATACTTTCAATGCATTTTTCTGCAAAAGGTGGTTTACCCTCTACTACACCACTGCCGTAATCCATCCATTAACTGAAACAGGATAGAAATGCAGCCAAAAATCGTACTGTATCTAAGCACACCTGAGATGCTCTCACCAACTAGGTTAATGAGTCTTACTCAGCACTGTCCAGTGGAATCAAAGTAAATCCACACATGCTGATCCTCATTGAGAGCTGTTGATAAACAACCCAACACATAATGTAAAGGAGACTGGCAGGATGAGGTTTCGTTCATATAACCTCAAACCTCAACAACCGGTTGGGCTGGAACCCTGCTCAGATCTGGCCTGTCTGGAAACTGACGTCCTTAGATAATGTGACACCTTAACATGATGATTCTCCAATCACTACGCCTTCCCCGGACCCCACCGGACTCACCAGCCCCTCTACAGGAAATGCCATGGTGCTGTCCCTCCCTTCCCTCTCTGTCCCTCCCTGCCCTCTCTGTCCCTCCCTTCCCTCTCTGTCCCTCCCTTCCCTCTCTGTCCCTCCCTGCACTCTCTGTCCCTCCCTGCCCTCTCTGTCCCTCCCTGCTCTCTCTGTCCCTCCCTGCCCTCTCTGTCCCTCCCTGCCCCTCCCTGCCCTCTCTGTCCCTCCCTGCCCCTCCCTGTCCTCTCTGTCCCTCCCTGCCCCTCCCTGTCCTCTCTGTCCCTCCCTTCCCTCTCTGTCCCTCCCTGCCCTCTCTGTCCCTCCCTGCCCACTCTGTCCCTCCCTTCCCTCTCTGTCCCTCCCTGCCCTCTCTGTCCCTCTCTTCCCTCTCTGCCCTCTCTGTCCCTCCCTGCCCTCTCTGTCCCTCCCTGCTCTCTCTGTCCCTCCCTTCCCTCTCTGTCCCTCCCTGCCCCTCTCTGTCCCTCCCTGCCCCTCCCTGCCCTCTCTGTCCCTCCCTTCCCTCTCTGTCCCTCCCTGCCCTCTCTGTCCCTCCCTGCCCTCTCTGTCCCTCCCTGCCCTCTCTGTCCCTCCCTGCCCCCTCTGTCCCTCCCTTCCCACTCTGTCCCTCCCTGCTCTCTCTGTCCCTCCCTGCCCTCTCTGTCCCTCCCTGCCCCTCCCTGCCCACTCTGTCCCTCCCTGCCCTCTCTGTCCCTCCCTGCCCTCTCTGTCCCTCCCTGCCCACTCTGTCCCTCCCTGCCCTCTCTGTCCCTCTCTGTCCCTCCCTGCCTTCCCTGTCCCTCCCTGCCTTCTCTGACCCTCTCTGTCCCTCTCTGACCCTCTCTGACCCTCTCTGACCTCTCTGACCCTCTCTGACCTCGCTACTCTGAGTCAGCTCTAATAGCTGACATCTGCTTGGGCAGTAATGAAAAGTAGTAGAAAAGGGACAGATTATTTAACATACAGTACATGTATCACTGTAAAATATGTTCGTTATTGCTGTTTGTGTACATTTGAGGAGTCAAATGACAGCCTTTTATGCAAACACCCATGTGTCTTTTAGTTAGTTTAGTGGACTATTTAGAAGTAGATATAATATGCACTTGCTGTCAAAACATTTGAAGTTCAATAATATGTTGAAACAGTTGCCAGCCTCCAAAGATTAGTTGAATTTTAGTAGAAAATGTCTGCTCTTAAAAGGTATTACAGGTAAATATAACTTATTAGGTTTTCAGCTCTACTCTAAAATAGGCAATAATTTAAAAAGCACATCACAATTGTAAAAGAATATGTAAAAAAATTGGCCAAATGCATTTGTGAATACAGTACATTTTTTATATGTAAGTACTCTCAAGCTGTTAATAGTAAGACACTTTTACAATGAATCAAAGATTTCATACAGAAAACAAACTGATAAATAAGTCAATTTAAATGTATACATTTACATATCTAGAACATAACATGATATGTTGTTAGAATTATGTCATGAGAGTTAATTTTACTATTGAAAAGTTTGCAACCTGGTAATTGCTTGCATAATTTGATGAGAGCATTCTGAGCTGGTTTCCATTGCAGTACTGTGGCTAGGATGTTCAGTGTCAAGTTTACCGATTTACAGTGCTTTATAGGGTATTTTCTTCTGACTCTACCTGGGACAGTCTTTTGCATACTGTTTGTTATAGAATGTCCTTTTTAGTTTACTGTCTTAATGTGATGATCAGCTTTGGGAGGTGAAAAGGACTGACCAATGACACTGTGTGTGTCTTGATGTGAACTGATGATGATGGTGATGATGAATAGGTTACAGCATCATCTCTCTGGAAACTAGGCTGAGCATGCAGCTTGTGAATGTGTAATATAGAGCCACTATCTTCTAACTGTTGGTCAGCCTAGAAACGTCTGGTCTGCCATAGCTTCCTATCTGCTGATTGAGGCTAAAAAGAGCAGGATCCAGAGAGAGTGTGTAGGGGTGAAGGAGACAGAGAAACCGTCTACTACACTCTATTGTCTGAGTGGATCATTTGTGGGTAGATTGTTAAAGTTAAAAGTGCTCAGAGTTCATGGGATGATGGACGTTGATATTACAAACAACAATAGGAGTGTTTGTGTATCAAACTTTGTACAAGACTGGGTTAATATCACTGCTTTCTATAACATATTTTTACACTGCCCCAAACTGTATTGATGCATTTATTCAAAACCGTCATTAGTCCAATTCCAGATATTCTGCAGTGTGGGAGCACATGATTTTATGGCACACACGTATGTTCAAGATTCAAAGCAATTAATTCTGAGCATTTATCCACAATATTTGAGAAAAAGGTGAAATATGAAAATTTTACTGATCTTTTGAAACACGAGTATGATCCCATGAGATGGCAATTGTTTTCAACACAGTTCAATGTGATTTTCTATTTCAATAACCAAAAGCCCATTATTTAACAATATATTTGTACATCAATGGTATAGAGAAAGGAGTCTTGTTTAATGATTTATTTGAGTGTTGTAAAATGTAGATAGGAATGTGTGGAGCATGACTGAAGGTTTCGGTGTGCTAAGACAACATTTTACATTTACATTTTAGTCATTTAGCAGATGCTCTTATCCAGAGCGACTTACAGTTAGTGAGTGCATACATTTTTCATACTGATTCATTCTGAGATCTTAAGAGTTTGGCCAAACAAAATTACATTCATTAATGAATTATTACAATCAT